ACATAGACTCTAACTATGCACAAGCGTTCCTTTTCTTCATATTGTCTCTAGCACACGTTATCTTTCATCACTGATAATAGACATCTAACAGGTAAGAATGGACATCTCAGTGTGGTTTTGATTTACATTTCCTGGTGAGTGAGGCTTAACAGCTTTTCATATACTTCAGTCATTCTGTATGTCTTCTTTGGAGAAATGTAAATAAAGTCCTTTGTGCCTTAAAAATCTTTTTTTCAACATTGATACAACTTTAGTTTCCAGCTGTGCATCACTGTAAATCAACGTCTGTATATACTGTATTCACCACTGAAAATCCAACTCCATTCTTCACCATATGGTTGTCCTCTTTTACCATTTACTCACCCCTTTTCCCCCTTCACTTCTGTAACCACTAATTAGACTAAAGAATTATTTTTATTTCATTAATTCTTTTGTTATTTACCACGTAAGAATGTAGTCATACGGTGTTTGTCTTCCTTTGTCTGACTTAATTTCATTAAGCATAATACCCTCTAGGTCATTCCATGTTGTTGCTGAATGCAAGGGTTCGTCTCTCTTTTTTTTTAAAGATTTATTTATTTATTGATACAAGCAGTGTGTATAGCCTGAAGCGCGGGAGGGTGAGAGAATTCACCAGAGCCAGAGTGGGGAGCAGAGCAGGCAGAAGGATCGAAGCACACTGCTGAGGGGAGCAGCGGGAGGCAGGAGAGGTCTGCACGCCATGCGGGACCCTCCTCCGGTGGCCGGGGAGCAGCCGGGGATTGAACCAGTGCTGCAGAGGCTGCGGGCAGCTTCGCAACCCAGCGCTCAACCGCTGCGCCACTGGGGAGGCCCTCGTCTCTCTTTTTAATAGCTGAGTAGTATTCCATTGTGTGCACACCACATCTTTATCCAGTCATCTGTCAGTAGGCACTCTGGCTGTTTCCAGTTTGAGTATTGTAAAGAGTGCTGTGATGAACATGAGGGGTGCATATTTCTTCGAATTAATGTTGTTATATGCTTCGGGTAAATACCCGTAAGTGGGATAATTGGCTCATATGGAATTTATATTTAATTTTATGGGAACTCTCCATACTGCTTTCCATAGTGGTTGTACCAAATTAACATCCCATAGGTATAAGGGTTCCCTTCTCTCTGCACCCTTTCCAACAAGTTTCTTCTCTTTTGGATAATAGCCAGTAGGTATGAGGTGATACCTCATTATTTTGATTTGTATTTCCCTAATAATTACATGATGTACATTTTTTACAAGTACTGTTGACTTGGAGAAGAGTCTCTTCAGATCTGCTGCCCATTTTTCAAGTTGGATTACTTGTGTTGAGTTTTATGAGTTCTTCATATGTTTTGGATATTAACCCTTATTGGATATAGGAAATGCAGACCTTTCCCCCCATTCAGTAGATTGCCTTTTCAATTTGATAAAAGTTGATCTAGTTCCATTTGTTTCATTTTGTTCTCCTTGCTGTGTATCTCTAAAGCCAATGTCAAGGAGCATTTCACTCATTTTCTTCTGTCTTATGGTTTCAGCTCTTACATTCAAATCTCTAACATATTTTTAACTTTTATGTATGGTGTGAGATACGGCTTAGTTTCATTCTTTCGCAGATGACTGTCCAGTTTTTCCATGATTTGTTTGCTTCTGTTTCTTTAATGTCTGAGTAAATGTCTTTAATGTTTGTCTATTTTGTTAATGTTTTCAAAGAACCAGCTTTTGCTTTCATTGAGGTTTTGAATTATCTTTTTTTTAAGGATTTATTTATGCATACAAGACTGGGGTACAGACCATTAGTGTGGGAGATGAGAGGATTTACCAGAGACAGAGTGGGGAACAGAACAGGCCGATCACACTACCGAGGAGAGCAACAGGCAAGACAGGAGAGGTCTGCTGGGCCATGTGGGTGGCTCCCTGGCCAGCTGGGGATCAAACTTGCACTGCAGAGGTTGTGGAAAGCGTCATGATGCTGTGCTTAACACCTTGCACCACCAGGGAGGCCCAAATTATCTTTTTTGATCTTTCTGCTTTATTATTTCCTTTTTTCTACAAAATTTTGGCTTTTCTCTTTTGCTAGTTTTTTTTTTTTTTTTCTTTGAGTGCCCTGCTGACCCAATAGTTGTTTGGTAGTATGTTGTTTAGTCTCTCTCTATATATATGTGTGTGTATGTGTATGTATGTTTATATGCTCACATATATATATATATATATGAGTGTGTGTGTGTGTATATATATATATATATATATATATATATATATATGTAGTTTTCCATCATGATCTGAAAAGATGCCTGATATGTCTTTATAAATGGCCAGTCTATGGTCTGTCCTTGAGAATATTTCACTTGAGAATAAGTGCACTTGAAAAAAAAATGTGTTTGGTCAAAATGCCCCTAGATATCTCTAAGTCCATCTCATCTAACTTGTTATTTCTGTCTGAATGGTGTGTTCATTGACAAAAGTGAGGTGTTGAAAGTCCCCTACTGTAACTGTTACTCTCCCTATCTCCCTTCTGCCTGACATTTGTATTAATAAACATTTTGGTGCTTTCATGTTGGGTGCATATAAATGTGTTTTCCTGCTTTATTGATCCCTGAATCATTATATAATGTCCATATTTATCTTTTACTCCCTTTGACTAAAGTCTATTTTTATGTACATGTAGTGTTTCCTGGATTTAAGTCTGTGTTTGTCTTTATACCTTGAGTCTTTATAGATACACATAGTTGGGCTTTGCCTTTTAATCTAGCCAGGGGAGGTTATATTTTAAGGTCACCCCATCAAGGCTGTCTTCTGTGGGGCCTGATGTGGTTCATGGGAAATAAGCACCTTTGCTGTCAGTAGAAATATTCTGTTCCCACTGTAGCCTTTCACTCTGCAGCCATGGCATCTTACTGTAGAGGCACTTTTCAGGCTTGAATTAAATCCCAGTGTTGTACTGCTCACATGCAGATGTTAGCCCTTCTCTTCAGGTGGTTTCCTCTTGAAGCCTTTCCAGCTTGGTCTGAGGTGGGAGCCAATGCTGTCTTTCCCTCCCTGGGCAGAAGTGGGAGTGGACAAACAGCACACTGACACTCTCCTATAACATACCCTCTTCCAGCCGGCACAGCTTCTTTTCATTTTTTTTACATTGAGATATAATTGATGTTTCACATGTTGTGAAATGACCACCACAGTAATAACATCCATCACCATGTAGGGTTAAAATGTTTTTAATCTAGTGATAAGAACTTTGAAGATCTGTTCTCTTAGCATCTTTCAAATACAGTTTTTAACTACACATCCTGTACATTCCATCCCCATGGCTTTATTTCATAGCTGCAAGTTTGTACCTTTTGACCCCTTTCACCCATTCCATTTGCCCCCGCCATGACCACAACTTCTGCTTCTCAGAGGCTGTAGGAGACTGAGTGAGTGACATGGGCAATGGTGACTCCATGTAGTTTCTCTGAGGCATTTCTCATTGCAGCAGGAGAGGGGAGTAGGCTGTGTATTGAATCTAAAAGCAGCGTTATGTTCATTGTTTTACTCTGCAAAGATCAGTCTGTTCTAAAGAAAAAATACAAATGTGGGTTCTTTGCTGTATTTAATTTCATCACAGTAGAATTCATTTACTAGTTTAAAATGTGATTATTTCACTGTTTAATGTGTAGTATGTAGCTAAATAGAAAGCATTCAGAATTGAATAGATTTGTTCAAGTCATAGCATTTATATCATCTACTTGAATAATTACAATTTATTCTATGTAAAACATAAGTATTCTTTGGCCTTTTAAATAGATAATACACAGAAGAGACCACAAAATAAAGACACAAAAAAGGTAACAGAAATTTGAATTGTAAAAGCTGACATGCAGAAAAGCATTATTAAAACCAGCCTATTAAAGTGAAAGTAGATATTGATAGTCTTTCCAGATGCAAAATGATTGTGCAAGGTAATACGTTAGTTGCCTGTCTGGTGCAGGACAGCAGTGGTCGGGCGGGGAGCTGAAGGCCTTACACTAATCTCACTGCAGCAAATAAATGCTGAGACGAGTTATTTCTGTATTTATTTCCATTAAAAAGACAAAAATAACATTTGTATTCCCCTAAACAGTGTATACCTATATACTAAATTATAAGAGCTAAAGTGCCTTCAGTGGTGTATATAAGCTAAGCTGTGGAGTTACAAAGCTAGTCCAGTGTGAAACTGCACTAACACAGGAAGGGTCGCTTTCGGTCAGATGGCATACAGTTTATAAATAAAAAAACCTTTTTTCAAATAGCAAGGAAAATAGGATATTGATATGGTGAGTACCTGTTCCTTTTCATCTACATAAAATTTCAAACCAAAAAGGAAAAGTTCAATTTGAGGTATGAAGGAGTTGATTTTTAAGTCGATCTCAGTAATTTTCCATACAAAGTTGGCTTTTGAAACTTTTTTCTTGAGGTTATGTTAGTTTAAACGCTACATGTGATTCAGATATATTTTTAAAGACTTCAGAAATAGTTTTAGAAATGTCCTTATCACTAGCCAGCCACATTGTATTTCGGCTAACTTCCTGGTACACTGTGGGAAGTTGGTTTTGCCCTCACCAGGAATAAATATCTCATATCCTACAGGGGATTAGAAACATGCAAAGGGTGTTGAAAGGATGTGGTAGAGAAACTGCAAACATTTTAATTTTAAAATCCTTTGTCTATTCATTGAACTAGTATCTGACATGAAGTAGGGTGGAACATTCAGATGATTAAACTACTGTCCTGTAGTGAAGGAACTCGGTATTCTGGGTTTTCTCTCTTTCGTGTCTTCACAAAAATTCCTACCTTTACATGAATATAGTCTGGGTTCCAACTGAATGCTTTACCAGTGTCAGATTTTGTTGCCATACAGAGCAAAGTATTAATGGCTCCCTATCTTTCATTTTGCTGTATTTGTCAGACCTCTTTCTCATGTGTGGCCATGAAAGTCACAGTGAAGTGAGATTTTAATTTTCTCCAATTCTAATGTTTCTTGACATTATTGCAGGGAGTATTCCACCTGTGCCTGCCAACAACAACATGATGACACCATCAAATGCAATTTCTTTGAGATCACAGAACGGAACAGGCACCACTGAGAAACCATCAACAACTACAGTTTCCTCAGTTTCAAAGAACAAGACAAGCACTACCAAACCTTCTACAACTTCATCCACAACTCCAGTTTCCTCAAAGAATGGAACTACCACCACCATGAAACCTGTAACACCATCTAGCACGACTTCAACCACCTTGAAATCTACAACCAAGAAAATAAGTGTTTCACCAACCACATCCCAAACTTCAACATCATCACTGACCACAACCCATAATAGTTCAGTGACATCAGTTTCTTCATCAGTAACAAGTATGTATTAAAATTCACCTATTTTTACTATGCAGAAATGTTTTCCAAAGCCACATTTCATCATTATTCCTTTCTGCAAAAATACAGAAATTTAAAGCGATTTATTTAATGAATTTCCAATTTAACAATTAACTCTAACAGAAAATAATTAGGGGGCCTCCCTGGTGGCACAGCGGTTGAGCACTGGGTTGCAAAGCTGCCTGCAGCCTCTGTAGAGCCGGTTCGATCCCCGGCCACTGGGTGAGGGTCCCACATGGCACACAGACCCCTCCTGCCCGGCCCGCTGCTCCCCTCAGCAGTATACCTCCATCACTCTGCCTGCTCTGCTCCCAGCTCTGGCTCTGGTGAGTTCTCTCACCCTCCCGCACTTCTGACTGTACCCAGTGCTTGTATAAATAAATAAATCTTTAAAAAAAAGAAAAAAGAAAATAATTAGGCAAGCTCAAGGTGCATGATTTGTAAACCAAAATCATGGTGAACTTTGGTTTTAATTCTGTCTCAGGACTCTGTTTAAAATTTAATGCATGTGAAACCATGTATTGAAAACCTTAAGATTCTTTTAAGTTACCCATTAAGTTCTACTTAAAAGCTATTATCAGAATGTTATGGTTTCCTTTGAGTGTTATATACTTCTACTTGAAATCAATCAACAGTTCTTGATTTTATAAAATTCCCAATTTATTCAAAAGGTAGAATTTTATATAGAAACATACTGAAATAGGGCCCATTTTCAAGATTACAGCTGTGTTATCCAGACCTATTTTGTTAAGGCACAAACTCTAAAGAAAAAATATTCCCCCAATTTTGCTGCCTGAGATTTTGGTAAACCATCAAGTCCAGCACCATGGAAGACCTTAAGATCTTGGGATTGTAAGCACTGGGGTATGTTTTTTTTTTAAGGTATGCACTGGGTAACTGATGAAAATTAGCAGGAGAGCAACTTCCTATGCTTAGCTTCCCCTCATCCCAATTCACTGTTCACATATACAAAATTAGAATGTTTTAGCTTATTGTAATGTTTTAAAAAAAATTAAAGCATTTTTTTCTCTTGTTTTCTTCTAGTCACAGCAACTATTAATTCCAAAGGCAGTAAATCCTCGAAATTTGACACTGGCAGCTTTGTCGGCGGCATTGTGTTAACACTGGGAGTAGTGTCTATTCTTTACCTTGGATGCAGAGTGTATTACGCGAGAAGAGGCATTCAGTATAGAACCATGTGAGTTTGGACTAGCCAAGACTTTATTATTGTCCCTAGATCTAAAATAGCATGAGAAAATATCAATAAGTCATTGTTCATCAGTGATGAGTAATTTATGGATTTTTCATCTCCCACCATAAGAATGCAACATTTGTCCCATTCAAGAAACAGACTTGCTACATCTAGTAGTAATGAAATTTTCTGGTTTTCACTTATTGAATAACACTGATGAAAATGTTAGCTCCTTAGAGATTCATGCAGAGACAGTGGAGTGAATTAAGAGATAGGGTTTGGGCAGGCAGAACTTGTTTCTGCATTTGCTTAGCAAAAATGACAGTGAAAAAATCAAAGTGCCTTGGATATAGGGCATGATGATAATATGAAATACAGATGCAGGGCTGTGTGGCAAAATACCTGGTTCAGGTGTCTCCATTCAACTAATGACAGTACCTGTGAGAAGTTGCCACTAAGAGGCAGAGATTTGAGTGTGGGTCTGTTTGACAACCTGAACCATAATTTGAATTCTTAATAGCACTACAATGTACCTAAGAAACTTCAGGCAAAGCCATAGCAAGTTATTTTGATTCTGAAACTTGAAATTATTCTCGTTAAATGTGTGATCACAAAAAGTTTTGATACAAATACAAAACAAAATAATTCTACCTTTTGTTCTATTACAGCGACGAACATGATGCCATCATCTAAGGGAATCCCAGGCCCAGTGGAAAGAAGCTGACACAGCCCTGTCACTTTTGGCTTATGAATTAAACAATGTTCTGTTCTTGAAAATAATATAAATAGGCCATACATATGATATACAGTCTATTGTGTATATCATTAGCTTAAGGTAAAATGGGAATGGTTTGTTTTTTAATGGCCATCTGTAGCATACACTTAGCAAATAGAGTAAAATGAGTCCTGTCCCCTTTCGTGTTTCATGATCATCTGGCCACAGCCCTGTGTGACAACACTGAAGGCGCTTGTCACAGCACTCAGGACTTTGTGTATCTATGCTGTTCACACAAGGGACTTCAGTGCTTGGCGCAAATACTAAGGAGAAGTTATACAAGTGAGCCAGTCAGGTCCTTAGGAGAATTTTCAGTGTCTCTTCAGAAAGTATCAATATTTTTTATATGTTTTAGAGACAAAACACATGCAACCACCATGAAAATCATAAAACCCCTAACAGTACCCACCTGGAGTTAGTCCTGTTGGAGAGCCTCTGTCTGTATTAACTTCTTTTGAGTTATCAATGCAGTTGGCTTCTTCTCTGTAATTTCAGTGAATTACAATCTTTAACAATGTTTTAAAAATTAGTATACAGATAAGTAATTTAGATTATCTGCTACTATGAGAACATTGTTACTACTGGAAATTTTTCATATTCAGCTATTAACTTTTTATTTAGTAAATAATTCTGAGAGATGTACAGTTGCTTTAAATATCTAGAAATGTTAATGTAGTGTAAATACATCTAACAAAAAAACCTTACATGATTTCCAATATAACATTTAGATCTCTGTAAAATCAGAACTATAGCTTACTGCTGTGTTTATCAAGCCAGGGATCGTTGGGGTCCCCTCAGGCTACTAAAGCTGCAGGGTGAAAACATACGGAGGAAAAGCACAGTATTGTAGGGACAGACACCACTGTTAGCATATTTTGTTTGGAGTGTGTTCAAGTTTATACTGCAGCACTCAAAACTCAGGGTTAAGTTTTGACAGCAGAGTTAGTCATTACTAAATTCTAACTTTTGTGATCAGTTTTTATTTTGCAGAGAAAGCCATATAGCAAGGATTTGGGTAAGGACCATTTTGTATTATAGCCAACTGAAGTGATATATAGAACGTGACTCATGCACTGTACTCAGATTAGTTTGAAGAGTGATGTGGATGACAAATTTTATGTTACGAATCTACCACTTCCATTTCTTTGCAAAGAAATTTGATATGCTTTATAGTAATGTGGGTCTTTTAAATACAGTAGGTTTTGTCTTCTGCATTCTTGGTATTTTTCAGTGCTTCCAGTCAGTCAGAACTTTATAGGCCTGCAATTTTCTTGACTACTTGATTTTAAGCACTTTCAAGATAAAAAGTTTTAAGTACCAAGTGTCATTATTTGCCTTTAAAGTTTCCTGTCCTTTCAGTATGAAATACTACTAGTATGTCAGTGCAGTGCTGTTTTGGTTATTTCCAAAAATTGAAGGAAAACAATGATACAAGCTGCTTTATAGCAAGTTACCTGAGTTACTTAAGTATATGTTCAATGAAAATTAGCAGTAGGTCATAGTAATAATTTTGTATTTTCAGAAAAAAATATTTTTAAGCAAATTCCTGTAATTTTTTTTTTTTTTTAATGATGATCAGCTTTTGGTATTCTATTGTTACTGAGATCTATTTTTAGAATAAAATGTTTTGTCTCCATCTAAGAGTTTTAGTGTATGGTTTTTGCTTCATTTCATCCCACTCAAAAGAAAACTAAGAGCTCAAATTAAAAAGCCAGATTATTAGGGCTTAAGTGACTGTGATACTTTAACTGTGGTTAAGCCCCAGGCCCACTGAAGATCACCAAAGTTGAAGAAACATCACTCAGGATTTCCACTTGAAGCCTTTAACTTGTCCATACATGCTGCAACTGCACTGAGTGTACTGTTTTCAACAGTCTTTTCTTCTCTACAATGGATATAGTTTCTGCATCTAAAAATGACCCAAGGCAACCAATGTGAAGGGTACAGTTCAGGAAATCCTTTATAGGATAAAAAATACCTTCTTAGTTTTGTGTTAACACAGTACCTCCCATCCTTATTTTCTGTTCACTCTGGACAGTTACCCACACACCAGTAACAGACTTTGAGTGTGTGTCTTGCCACTGGCACAATGGTATGGGAGTGGATGTAGTAACCCACCCCATTGATTCAGGGGGAAAAAGGGATCCTTTCAAGTTACAGCTATTTGTTAAAGAAAAAAAAAAAAAATACTGCAAGTGCTATTACCAAGATGGCCTATGTTGCCATCTCCCTTCCCCTGCCCCAAGATTATTTATGGATAAGACAACACTAAGGGAATCCTAGAATGAGTGTAAAAATGAAACACCCCCTGTTCCACAGAGACCAAGACAGACCACTGGAAGTTAAGAGGAGCTACTTCAGGCTGATGGCCTTGCCTCCCCCTGAGGCCAGTACACTGTGCAGAGGGGTCCTCCCCAGGCTATGGTTACTCCAATGGCGATAGACCCCAGGGGACATCCAGCTACCCCAGTAAATGGGTCACTTCTTGGAGGCTCTTGTCCTACAGGGATTGCTGAATAACCTCTAGGGTTTGAGCACTGGAAATGCTTATGACAGAGGATGGGGTGAAGCAATATAAGCACCCAGATTCAGCCTACAGCAACCTAGTAATTACCCTCAGCCAGTGGTTTTGCTCGGTGGGGATGGGTCTCCTTGATTCAAGTCCTCAGACAAAAAGCCCCACCTATTGCTGAGTGAAGCCCCTGACGCCAACACCTGAAAAAACTACATACCCCAACAATTCTCGAGCAGAACCCAACAGGCAGAGCTGTCTGCTGAGCAAAAACCAGCTTCTGTGGCCAGGGAACTTGAGGTGCAGGTTACTCGAGTCAAAATCACAAAAGAGTCTTGTGGACGGTTATCCATCTGTGCCTGTCAGGGGAAACTAACCTGTAGCCCTGCCCTTTCTGAACCAAATCTTTGTAATGACTCAACATATGCATCAGTCAAGGTGACATATCACATAATAGAATGGAAGTAAAAAAAAAAAAAACCCACGATCTCAACAAATGTAAAAAAAAATTTACAAAATTCAACATGTCATGATAAACACTTTCAAATTAGATACAGAAGAAACTTACCTCAGCATATAAAGATTATATGATATATCCACAGCTACCACCATATTCAAAGGCAAAAGACTGAATGCTTTTCCTCAAAGTCAACGACAAGGTGAGAATGGCTGTTTGCCACTTCTATTCATCAGTACTGGAAGTTCTAACTGGCATACAGGCAATAAAAAGATACAAAAGGTACCAGAAATGGAAATAAGTATATGTGTCTTTGTGTAGATTACATGTTTTTTTTTTATGTAGAGCATGCTAAAGATTTGACCTCAAAGCTTAGATCTAGCCAATTAGTCCAGTAATGCTGCAGTATACACAATAATAATTTAAAAAGCAGGAGTATTTGCATCACCAAACAATCTGAAAAAGAAAATACCATTTACAATAGCATGAAAAACAGTATCAAACTTAGGAATAAATTTAGTCAAGGTGAAAGATCTTTCCTCAAAAAACTGCAAAAGGAGCCACCCCAGTGGTGCAAGGGGTTAAGACATAACCTATGAAGCTCGCTGCAGCCACTGCAGCATGAGTTCAATCTTCAGCCAGGGAGCTACCAACATGGCACAGACCTCTCTTGACTTGCCCGCTGCTCCCCTCAGCAGTACATTTCAGTCAATCTACCTGTTCTGTTCCCCACTCTGTCTCTGTGAATCCTCTCACCCTAGTTCTTGTATGTATAAATAAATCTTTAAAAAAAAAACAAACTACAATAATACGTTGATGAAAGTCGTCATAAATACATGGAAAGATATCCTGTGTTCATGGACTGAAAAAATATAGTTGAAATGTCAATACTAGCAAAATCCATCTGCAGATTCAATGCAACTTCTATCAAGATTCCAAAGACATATTTTACAGAAGTAAAAATAATCCTAAAATTTGTGAGACCAGAAAAGCCTCAAATAGCCAAAGCCACCATGAGAACAAAGTAGGAGGCATCACATTCCTGACTGCTAAATGAATCAGATACAAAAACCTATGTATTTTATGACAGCATTTATATAAAATAGCCAAAGTAGATAAATCCACAGAAATAAAGCAAATGGTGCTTGCCAGAGGCAATAAAGAAAGGGGGATGGATATTGACTGCTTGAAGGGTACAGGATTTTCTTTGGGGGTGATGAAATGTTTTGGAACTTGATGAAAGGTGGTGGTTGCAGAACATTATTGATGTACTAACTACTACAGAATTGTACACTTTAAGTAGTTAATTTTATGTTATGTGAATTTCATCTTTCTGAAACCAAGGCCTTTTCTCAATTTAGTAACAACTCTTCCAGGAAATTAAAGTCAGAAGAGAAAGATGATTTAGAGTGAAGTGATTATTGCAAATTCCTGTGGAGGCCCACTTCACTCCTAGTCCTACAATTCCTGTATATTCTACACACTGCCAAACCCTGTGGCAGCAGTGCCAATGGTAATTTAGCCATTCCGATAATCTGCATCTTCTTCTCTGCTCTTTGACACAACTGGTGTTTTTTTCAATATTACTTTAGGTGCTTTAGGAATTTAACTTCAAGCCCAATCCACTAGCCTTCCCAAGCTCCTTTTATATAGAAATTCAAATACATTATTCCACTGCTACTATATTCTTCAGAAATTACAGCTATGATCACATCACTCATCTGCTAAAAACCAGTAGTTCATCTTTACCTACAAGATGCTATCCAGACAGCAAAGGCCATCATTTGCAGTTCTCTCATCCATGGTCTCCATCCTACCTTTCCAATCTTGTGTCCTATTATTTACCTTCATTGGCCCTATGACAACTCATTTTTTTTTCCAGAAATGCTTCACGCACTGTTGTGTCTCCTTATTTTTCATCTGCCTTGAAAATACTTCCAAACACTTCCATTCTCCAACTTTGAATACTCTAATCCTATCTAATCCTCTATACACCACTGATTACTAATTTAGCTACAATACTTTGAAAAACATTCCACAGCACCTTATCTGAACTTCTTTTACAGCAATTATTTTCCACTTTGGATTAAAATGACTTAAGAATCTCATCTGGCATCTATAAAATAGGAGTGACATGTTTTCATTTATAGATCTTCCTGATCTCTGGCAAGGTTTACTTTTTTACATCTATCCCTTTACACATAGGCAAACCTATCACTCATCTCCATACCTACCGCATTCCCATGCTTTTTCATCTTTGATATCTACAAAATATAGCCCAATTGCTCCAAATAAAACTATGCAACTAATAACTCAGCCATCACAATAGCCTCAAAATAGATTTACTCTCTTCTACCTGAAGAGAGCAAATTCTACTGGAAACAGATTGTACATGTAGTCATCTGAGATTTGTAGTCTACAAACAGCACAAAAAGACAGAAAAACCTTTAGTTTTCTTCTTACTTGGAAGCTGAGATTGATTTTACATAAAAATCATTGGATATTTACTTGCTGACATGGAAAGAGGAAGACCTTCAAGGCATGCTGTCAAGTGAAAAAGTCATATGGAGAACATTTATAAACCACAACTACATACATGTTTGTATGTATTCACACTCATATACCCAGTACATATCACTGAGGAGATTTAAGGAGAAATTAAGGAGTTAAACGTTTTACTTGACATACATACCTTGTCTAGATCTTTTACAAGTATCTCCTCAAATTTTACCTGGCTGTTAAAAAACACACCTGTGATGCCGTGATCTAAGTTTATCCTGACAGTCATTGGCACAGCCTGCACACAGTTATATACAATCCCACACTAGAAACTTACCCTCATAGAAAAGATGAGAATCATAAGAGTCATAAAGGGCATGTCAAAAACTTTATTAAATGGTAGGACTTAGACTACAGGCAAAGACTTTAGACTTGAAATCCAGGGTTCTTTTCATCCTACCACAGTGATCAACACATTCATGTGGCTTACAAGAGAATTTACTTACTACCTATTACTGTCAGAGGCTATGGATGAAAAGCTCTGTGCAATCACTGGCCAAAACAAGCCAGAAATATAAGAACCTAGTATAATTTCCAATTATTACCATAGTTTTTCCATTTCTGCTAAGCTAATCACACAAATTCCAACAGACCAACAAGGAAACAATAACACATTTTAACATAAATTCTGAGCAGTGAAATTTTGTATGTGAAAAGAGTTATCACATACAGATGAAAATATCACCTTTATTCCTGATAATGGCTTTGGAGAATGCAAGTGATTAATTATACAGCTCCACCCATATTTGATAAGGTAAAGAAATACAGAAACACTATTTCTCAACAAAGTAGAAAAGTAGCAAAATGTGACTAAAAAATTAAAAGTTTTAAAAAGTATTTTGGAGCCACTCTCATAAACAGTTCACAGTGCCCATCTCTTATCAACAACTGCAACATTTCACTGAGTCTAAATTTCTGTATTTACAATAAGGGATACCATGTCTCTTAGGGCTTTAAGTTTTAAGTAAGCCTAACAAAGCATCTCTCCTGCACCTGTGAGGAGTCCATGTTATGACACTAATTTCCAGTAGGAGGGCAAAAAGGGTAAGAGACTGAAAAACCCTACTCTTTCTGATCTAGGCAGATATGAGAATTCAGCAAATGGCTAAAATATTACCATTTACTTATACTTAATACAATATTTTTACTGAAAGGAAGACAGAAATTCTAAGGCATTATTGAAACTATCTGAATAAAGCCAAACAAAACTCTCCAATAAATAATAGCTTTTATGCCAGATGGCAGACCAGGCAATTTAAAATATTACTACAGTTTAATAGGACAACTTATCCAAAAGGACAAGCTAGCAAGTTAGCTTTTCATGTTAGCAAGTTCATGTTTTCATTTTACAGTTGTGCAAAGTATTAGAAAATGCTTCAAAATTGTTAGCACGTGGTACTAGCCTGCCAGAGTTGCTATAACAAAGCATTAACACTGTATGGCTTAAACAATCAAAATATATCCTCAGTTTTGGTGAATTCCAATATAAAGATGCTAGAAATTGGGTTTCTGTTTTGGCTTCTCACCTTCAATTACTGATGGCCATCTTCCTCTGGAATCTTCACAAGATCCTCTCAGGTCTGGATCTTTAATTTCTTTGCTAAGACATCAGTCATATTGGATTAGGGCTCATATGAGCTCATTTTACCTTAACTGCCTCTTGAAAACTTATCTCCAAATACATTTTGAGATAATGGGGATTAGGATTTCAATTTATTGAATGGGGCAGGGGGAATGGAACATATCTCAGCCTGTAACTCATCTCAATTGTTTAAAGAACAATTTTAAAACAACTGTTTAAAGAACATTATGCCTGGCACATCATAGATGATCCTCAATATATAATAGCTATTATTGAGGAGAATGAAAAATGAGAGAATATTTCCTAAAAAGATTTAGTTTCCACTACACATTCCTTCTACAATGGCAGGGAGAAATTTCCTCTCACTGCCATGAGGTCTTGCACCTGTATGTCTATTCATGTGGATTATATAAATGCATTAGCACACCAGGACAGAAATAAAGAAACAAAGGCAAGGAGAGAGACTGAAGGATAGAGAGGTTTTCACTCTTTCCAGAGTATTTTCTAAAAAAAATTCTAGAGGACTTATGGGATAAGAAGAAAAACGAAGTTTCTAATATTAAACCTCCTTATTGCATTATCTTTGGAAGTCTTCCAGTGATCCCTAAGATCAAATATGACAGGGTCAAAAAAGGAGACACTTACCGTTGCTGTATTCTGCCTCATCCCACAAACACCTGTGCAACAAGCCAACTGTATCATCTTTTGACAATCCCAATGTATGTTTACCTAATTTTAAGAATTTTTTTATAATTTTATTTCTATAATATGCAACTAGACAGTATTCATCTAAAGAAATCCTGATAAATCTCATTACTAAAAAAATTATTTTATGAATATAATAGCTATAATGTGTTTGCAATGTGACAGGTACTATGGTTATGATTATTAGGTCATTTAATCCTTATAACCCCATAAAGATATATGGAAAATACTTTTTGAGGCAGGAGAAAAAGTTTTTGATGATTTCGTCTTTTTGAAGAACTTTATTAATATGTGTCTCACAAATCAGGGAAAAGCTTATTTGCCAGTAAGAGAAAAATTCTTTTTTTACAACACAAGTGAAAAACATCAAATAGATTTTGGCACCATAAGTCTGATAAACTCCAGAGTTGCTGAAGAGGTTTCAGGAAAAAAAAATCAAGTCACTTGTAAAATGGCACATAATAGTAATGAAACTAGGCCTTAAATTTCTCCAACATTCACACATATACACAAATATAACTCATGAAACTTATATCTTTCCTTTCATATAAGGAGATTAGATTAAATATGACATATTAGACTATGTAATTTCTATTAAATAAGATTACTAGTACCAAGCAGTGTGGAACACAAATGTTACTAACTAAAGAACCATTACCTCAGATGGCTTCAAAATACTCAAGTTTTTCAAAGGCTTTTATATAAACAGGCAAAACATATAACCTGTTTATCTTTTATGAAAGAAATGTACGAACCGTACCCTTAATTATACCCCTGCAAATAGGGCATTTTCTTAGAGAAGGGGCACATTCCTGGCAGACTACCAGATGACCACAAGGAATGAACACAATAGAAACTTCTTTGTCCATACACACTTTACAAGTTCTTTCTTCTTGCAACCTCCTCAACTGTTCCTCCAGTGACAGACCTAGTAACAAAAAAAGAAAACCACTATGAAATTCAGTTTCTATTTTACCTCTCATTTAAAAAAAACCAAAAAAACAAAAACAAAAAACAGATGCATTGTTGCTTTTAAGTCTTAATTTTGCTGTACCTGAAACATCTTCCGTTGGAACATACTTCATATTCTTTTCCACTAAGGAAAGAAAAACAAACACCATCATTCTACTCAAATAAAAGACTACTTTATATATAGAATATAGCTTGTCAACCGGATTTGTCAAACACAACAACAGGCATAATCCCAAGGATTTCCAAAGTAATATCACAAAAAACTCACCAAATAAGTTCTTAAACAATGTAGAGTCAATTTCTTTTAAACAGTTTTTGAAGATGTTGGCTGCTGCATTTCCTTTAACTAAAACTGTATCAATCAGTTCTCTTGCTTGTAAAGGTATCTGTGTTTTTTGTTTAATAACATCATGTTCCTGTTTATTAATTACATCAGCTTTTAAGAGGTGATCCAAAATAGGCAGCACACAAGTCAGCTGCTGAAAGAGTGCCATTCTATTCCTCCGAATTAACGACAAATCATCTTTATTAAAGAGAAAAGAGAGAATATCCATTAGATGTTAAGCTGCTCCGATTATAGTCACTAGCAATCCTACTAACAATTTAGGTACTTAATAAATAGGAGCTAAAAAAACTGGGATAAAATTACTTCTTTGCACTTTAATGGCTGTTATTTGGAATATTTTGAGATGACTTAGCTAAAGCATATTACTAGTAACACACAGGTGCTCTAGTCATGTCACTTTTAAAATCTATTACGTATCTCAGGACCAAGGTTTTCCATTGTTCTATTGAAAGCAGAGTGTTTTAGAGAACAGTAAAAAATGCCACCTCTGTGTTTTACTAATAGTACTTTTTTTTAAAGATATATTTTTATTTATTTATGCATACAAGAACTGGGGTGTAGGCCAGAGGTGTACAGGGTGAGTGGGGAGCAGAAACAGGCGGATCTACTGAAATGCTGAGGGGAAGAGCAGGTGAAACAGGAGAGGTCTGCTTGCGCCATGTGGGTTAGCTTCTTGGCTGGGGATCAAACTCAGGCCGCAGTGGCTGGCAATAGTGGCTGGCAATAGCATGATAGCACTGAGATTTTAACCCCTGTGCCACCAGGGAGTCCCAGTATTGACTTCTTTTTGCATCAAATCACTTCACTTTTATAGAACTTTCACATCCACTGTCTTATTTGATACAAAAACCCTGTCAATTAAGCAAGGCAGGTATGATTGCTACTCACTTTTCAGATAAGGAGACAAAGACTCAGAAAAGAGTAACTTGTCCAAGGTTGGACAGACAGACTCAGTTACAGAGTCAGGGCTCCAGGATGAGTATTTTTCCTCACACCATGCTGAGGCAGCAGCAGTGAGGTGAAGAGCTTTAGCTGTCCAGTCAGGACAGACCAAGATCCTACACCAGCCTTGCCCCTTACTAGCCATTCACCTCGTCTCCATCCACTTTAGCTTCCTCATTTCCTCATTTATAAAATACAGAGAATAGTACCTTCCCCAAAGAACTGTGAGAATTAAATGACATCATATATCTATAAGTACCTAGCTCAATATCTGGCACATAGCTAGCTAGCTAGCACTATTATTTTATAAATGTCTAGGTTTATACCAATTGAAAAAACTGCCTATGAATCAGGCCTATTTTTTTAAAGTAATTTTTTTTCCTTTAACTCCAAATCACACACACACACAAACGAGTTAAATTTACTGTATTGTGGAGTATGACTATGAATTCCAAAGTATTTTTCAAGGAGAGTCTTCTTTTGGCGTCCCAATCACCATAATATTTAATTGCCTGTTTCCAGCCTTAAGACATCTCTACCTTACGAGTTTAATGAGAAATAAGTCATAATACCAGAAGTCTATTTTCCTTACCCTTTACTATATTCTAGAAATGAACCACCCTAGTCACCTTAAATCCTCACCTCTGACCACAACAAATCCTACATTAATAATTCACCTCACTACTGGCAAATCTGTCGTTTGCTTTTTAAGATATCCACATCATTCCTAATTCAACCAGCACAAGAACTGTCTCCTGACTGCTCACTCCCCATTCTAGTTTGGATCCCAGGCAATATTTTAATGATCTTCTCTACAAGACCCTAAGCTTTGCCTCTCTATTCCTTATTGACCTCCTGTAGATTTTTCCATAATTTCAAATGCATATTATTATTCTCTGAGTATCTAGAAAGTCACCAAATTACGGTGACTAGATTCATGACAGTGGTTTCATCTCACCTCTTAACAATCCTGAAATCTTTTCACTCTCCTCAGGTCTTTCTTTCAATAAGCCCAAATCCATCACTTCCCAAATTCATCTACTTTTGATGTATTAGGGACGGTGCGAAACCATTTTTTTTTTAATATAATAAATTTTATTTTTATATTCCCCATACAATTGCAACCCCCCCATTTTGACCCCAATCCCTCCCCTCCCGGCCCCCACCCCCCAAAAAGTGTCTTTGGTTCATAGTTTTTTGTTGATTTTGATTTTCACTTTCTTATAGTTATTCATTTTCCTGGTCCCTTATTTAAATTTTCTAGATTCCTGCTATGAGTGAGACCATCCGGTATTTTTCTTTTTCTTTCTGGCTTATTTCGCTGAGCATGATCCCTTCCAGCGCCATCCATGTTGCTGCAAATTGCATGTGTTTATCTTTTTTGAATGCTGAGTAATGCATGGTGTATATGTACCACCATTTTATTTGCAACATCTCATTTAATTTCTAGAGCAACTCCATGCAATTTATACTATTATTAGTTCCATTTCATAGATAAGAAAGCCAAAATCTGTTTTAAATCAGACTTTATACATTGTGCTATATGGCTACAGACTAAGGTTCTCTTAAACTATTTCTATCCTTATAAGCTTAAACAGAGAAAGTGCTTTCCTAACTCAAACACCCCAATTGACACACTTTAGACACAACCTTCACCTCTGAGAGCTCTTTTATGCACACTAGTCTGAATAGCTGCTTTACTAGCACCTTGAGAGTAAGTACCACAATAAGCAAAGGAGTAACACAGGTGATCACGCTCAATACACACATGCTGAAAGAATGACAATTCCAAAGCCACGTGCTAGAGTCTGAGACATACCACGTGAATAAATACCAAAGTCAGTTTCCTACTACCCTTGAGTTGGGCAGTGGCTTCTGATCAAGTACGAGGATTTCATAATCAATTCCAATTTTTGCATAAAGATCACTCAGCAAGAATTAGGGGGTCAAGGGCCTCCCCTGGTGGCGCAGAGGTTGAGCACTGGGCTGCAAGGCTCCCCAGCCACCAGCAAGGGTCCCACATGGCGCGCAGACCTCTCCTGCTGCGCCAACTGCTCCCCTCAGCAGTGTGTTTCATCATTCTGCCTGTTCTGTTTCCCACTCCGGCTCTGGTGAATTCTCTCACCCTCCCACACTTCTGATTGTACCCAGTGCTTGTATAAATAAAGAAATAAATCTTCAAAAAAAAAAAAAAGAGGGCCTCCCCGATGGCGCAGTGGTTGAGCGCTGAGCACTGGTTGCGAAGCTGCCCGCAGCCTCTGCAGCGCCATTCAATTCCTGGCTGCTCCCCTACTGCCGGGTGAGAGTCCCACATGGCACGCAGACCTCTCCTGCCGCCCGCTGCTCCCCTCAGCAGTGTACTTTGGTCCTTCTGCCTGCTCTGCTCCCCGCTCTGGTAAATTCTCTCACCTTTCCGCGCTTCTGACTGTACCCAGTGCTTGTATAAATAAATAAATAAATAAATCTTAAAAAAAAAAAAAAAGATTTAGGGGGTCAAGCCCCATTCTAAAAATATTTGGAGACTAAAAAATAAGTCAAAATAGACCTACATTCAATACTAAACAATTTAAATTTGCTTTGTATGAAGAAAATATGCAATACAGCTAGGAAAAGAGTTATGACAACATCTTCTGTTTAACATAAATCAGGGAACCTTACTGAAAATAAACATACAGGAAAAAGGTGTAGTCAAAGGTTCTAAAGGAGGTGTGTGCACTGCCCATGGTGGAGGAGAGAACAAGCTTCTTGGAGTGACTGGCGATGCCAACAGCAGTTGGTGGAAAAGTAAGGATGCTAACTGTGCATGACTATGCATGTGAGCAACCCCCCAAATACCTGATGCCCTCTCTTCTGTTTGTCTTTCCTTCTCCTCTTCTCTTTTTTCATCTTCAGCATTAAGAAGGGCTGACACAATATCATTAACTGTTTTGTAATTCTCTCCAGTTGACAGGATTTTACTCTGAACTGTCTGCTTTACCAGACTTCTACTGAAGCCCATTTCCAGGGCAGCTTTAACCATGGGTGTGTTCATCATGACTGTGTCTTCTGCGTGGTTCTCACCAGGTCCAAAATGGATAACTATTTGAAAAGATATGCACAATGTTAAATTGCAAAAAATATGCAATTACACGAAAAAAAATGACTATGACACAATCTCTACTCCTCATCCTGGTATATCATGGTGACAGAGATGAGCCATATCAACAATCACGAAAGACTGAACTTAATAAGGATCAAATGACAGTATAATAATATGTGCTTTTTAAAAATGCCACATCCCGCTGACCTACACTAATAAGAAATTCACTTAGGACGGGGCTGAGGGACCTTTATCTGCCTAAAATTCCCAAATAATTCTAACATATAGTCACTTTTGCAAAACAATATGCAACACAAACTTAAAATTGAGAGATTATCTCGTTTCAGACAGGGAAGTTAGGAAAATCAAAGACTTCGTGGAAAAGGTGGCACTGGACTTTGGACATAAAGTATGGACAAGATCAGACAGTTGGCAGTTGGATACATGAAAGAGGATAGGAAAAAGGATGGAAAATTAAGAAAAATGGAAGACTAGTTCACACAAAATGTTTAATGACATGATAAAAATATATATGGTTGAAGAAGCAGTATGATTTTACATTGTGAAAAATGTGCTATAGAAAGCAGTATAAAGTGGTTAAAACAAGCAGGACAATTTATACAGAGTGAATGTCAGCTGAGATGGCACTTATGTGAAAACTACAAAAAGACATTACTCGTTAAGACACTTTACTGCCATCTGCTGGAAAAATGTTATAAGCATATAAATGTACAATGGCTACAATGTGTATTAGGTTCCCTTGATCAAACACATGCAGAAATCCTGTAACAAACCAAAGACTTGAATGATAGAAGAGATAAGGAGGAAGTTTATATTTTATTCTGAGTTTGTTACAATAACCATGGCAGACCCATTAACAATACTGTAACCAGAGTTAATTCTATCAGGCAGGGGAAATGAGGAAACCAGTCAGCAAATGAAGAGGTATTTGCTCCTTCAAGTGGACAGATACGGCAAGGCTACAGTTATGAGGCAAATATGACACACCATCAAAGGAAACTAATAAAGTTCCAGGAACCAATCCCAAAGAGAGAGAGAGAGAGAGATCTTCAAACTGCCCAATGACAAACTGAAAATAATCATCTTAAAAGAAACTCAATGAAATTCAAGAGTAAAAATGACAATCTGAGAAAACATTGCAGGAACAAATTCAGAAGTTTAATTTAAAAAAAAAAAAAAAGGGTAAGTTTTTTTTAGAAGAGCATAACAAGGGCCTCCCTGGTGATGCAAGGGGTTAAGACACAACCTCTGAAGCTGAGCACAGCCACTGCAGCCCAAGTTTGATGCCCGGCCAGGGAGCAACCCATGTGGCGCAGCAGACCTCTCCTGACTCGCCCACTGTTCCCCTCAGCAGTGTATTTCAGTCGATCTGCCTGTTCTGTTCTCCACTCTGTTTCTGATGAATCTTCTCACCTTCTACATCTCTGGCCTGTACCCCAGTTCTTGTATGCATAAATAAATAAATCTTTACAAAAGGGCCTCCCTGGTGGCGCAGCGGTTAAGCGCTGGGCTGTGAAGCTGCCCACAGCCTCTTCAGCATCGGTTCAATCCCTGGGCGCTGGCGAGGGTCCCACATGGCGCACAGACCTCTCCTGTTGCGCCCGCTGCTCCCCTCAGGAGTGTATTTCGTCGTTCTGCCTGTTCTGTTCCCCACTCTGGCTCTGGTGAATTCTCTCACCCTCCCACGCTTCTGACTATACCCAGTGCTTGTATAAATAAATAAATCTTAAAAAAAAATTTTTAAAAATAATAAATCTTTACAAAAAATAAAAGAGCATAACAAAAGACCTGGAGTTGAAGAACATGACAGAACTAAGAAATTCAACAGCGTTTCAACAACAGAATAATCAATGAACTCAAAGACAGGTCATTTTAAGTTAGCCAGTGAGAGAAAATAAAGAACGAAAAAGAGTGAAGCAAGCATATGTGAATAATGGGACACCATCAAGAAAAGAGACATTTGGGGTTTTAATTAACAAGCAAACAAACAAACAAACAAACAAACAAGGAATAGTGTTGATGAAGCTACAGCGAAAAGGGAACCCTTGTACACTGTTGATGGGAATGTAAACTGGTGCAGCTGCTGTGAAAAACATCATGGAGAATTTTCTTTTCCTACCAGAATACTACGAAACTAGGAATCAGTAACAGAAAGAAAACTGAAAACAATTATGAATATGGGGGAAATTAAACAATGCATTTCTAAATAACCTCAGGGTCAAAGAAGAAATCAAGAGGAATAAAAAAAAAAATCTTAAGAAGCAAAAATGAAAACACAATGTAACAAACTTAGGGGGTAGAGCAATAGCACTTGTAAGAGGGAAGTTTATGGTGATAAATATCTGTATAAAGAATAAAGGAAGGTTTCAAATAAACAACCTAACTTTACAACTCAGGAAATTAGAGAAAGAAAAATCTATGGCCAATGTTAATAGAAGCAAGAAAATAAAGATTAAGGCCGAAATAAATGATTTGCAGACAAAAGCCAAAAAAAATAAAATCAATGATAATCTTTTGAAAAGACAAATTTGACAAACCTTTAACAAAGATTAACCAAGAGGAGACACAAACATAATTATCAATGAAAAAGGAACCATTATAAATGACACAACAGAAATGCAAAGAATCAAAAGAGACCACTATGACCAATTATACTCTAGCAAACTGGGTAATATAGGTGAAATGGATAAATTTCTAGAAACATACAACCTACCAAGACCGAATCACAAATAGAAATCAGATCAGTAACTAAAATGACAGTTATCAAAAAAACTCCAAAGAAAAGTCAAAGAAAAGTCAAGAACCAGATGATTTCACTGGTGAATTCCACCAATTTAAAGAATTACTACCAATATTCTTCAAACTCTCTCAAATTACTGAAAAGGTTAACAAATTGAAATTCATTTACTAACAGAAAACCATAGGCCAATATCCAAAATGAATATAGATTAAAAAATTCTCAACAAAATATCAGCAAATTTAATTGAACGTTAAAAGGATCATATACCATGATCAAGGATCCTTGCCTAGGATATAAGGATGCTTTAAATACACAAATCGGTAAATGTGACACATAATATTAGAGTTGGAAAAATATATCATGATCCTCTTAATAGATGCAGAAAAAAATGTATGAGAAAATTCAACATATTTTCATAATAAAAGTTCTCCAAAAATTGGGTAAAGAAAAATATACTTCAATGAAGGTAAGGTCATATATGACAAACTCACAGCTGAATTCATATTCAAATGAAAAAAAAGAGGACATCAAAATAAAAAAGAAGTAAAAGTCTCTGTTTGATAGGACATGATTTATATACAGAAAACCTTAATGACTCCACCAAAAAGACTGTTCAAACCTATAAATGAAATCAGTAAAATTTTCAGGATAAAAAAAAATTTCACATACAAAATCAGTTCAGTATACACTAATGAAAAAATATCTGAAAAAGAAATAAAGGAAAAAATCCCATATACTACAGCACCAAAAACAATAAAATACAGCCAATTACATACCTTAATTTTAAAAAAATACTTGAGAAAAAATTTAACCAAGGAGGAAAAGGAAATGTACACTGAAAACTGTAAGATAATGATGAAAGAAAGGCACAAATAAATGGAAAGACACCCATGTATGAGAACAAATAATATTCTTAAAATATACATATCATCCAAAGTCATCTGTAGATTCAATGTTAATTCTATCAAAATTCCAATAGCATATTTCACAGAAATAGAAAAAATAATTCTAAAATTCATATGGAAATAAAGAATAGCCAAAGAAATCATCAGAAAAGGGCCGCCCTAACAGACTAGTGGTTAAGTCTCAGCACTATCACCTCTATGGTCTAGTTCCATACCCTGCCAGGAAGCTAACCCACATGGCGCAGCAGACCTCTCCTGTTTTGCTCTGCTGCTTCTCTTAGCAACGTATTTCAGTTAATCTGCCTGTTCTGCTCCCAACTCTGTCTCTGGTGAATCCTCTTACTTCCATGCCCCTTCCCCACCCCTCGGCACCTCTGGCCTATACCCAATTCTTCTATGAAAAAATAAATAAAATTAAAAAAAAAAAGAAAAGAAAAGAAAATCATCAGAAAAAAAGACTAAAGCTGGAGGTATCATACTTCCTAACTTCAAACTATACTTTTTCCAAAAAAGACACTATAAAGTTATAGAAACAGGAGAATACAGACTTGACATAAAAGTTAATACACAGCCCAATGGAACAGAATCAAGAGTCCAGAAATAGATGTATATAAAAGCAACTAATATTTGACAAGAGAGCCAAGAATACTCAAGAAAAGAAAATCTTTCAGTAGAAGATGGTAGGAAATATTCACACACCAAAGAATAAAACTGGATACTTACTGTACAGGACTCACAAAAATTACTCAAAATGGATTAAATATTTCAATGTAAGACCTGAAAATGTAAAACTCCTATAAGAAAACACAGAAAAAGAAAGTCCTTGACCCTGCCCTTGGAAATGATTTTTTTCCAACACGACACCAAAAGGACAAGCAACAAAAGCAAAAACAAAAACAAGTCAAAAGGGAAAACATCAAACTGAAAGTTCTATACAGTAAAAGAAACAAACAACAAAATGAAGAGTCAACCTACAAAATGGAAGAAAGTATTAGGAAACCATTTATAAGTGGTTAATACTAAAATCTGAAAGGAACTCATAAATTCAACAGCAAAAATATAACCAATCCAATTAAAATTAAGCTGATAATACAAATGAGTCACTGGGGGAGGGGGGAGGGCTGTGAGGGAGAGGAGGCTAAGTGAGGGAGAGGAAGATGTGTAAGAAAGAGCACACTGTACCATAGTGGAGGACTATGGGTGCTCTGATGGTGGGAGAGCTACAGCGACCACACCTGAGGGGAAAAATTCTATACTGCCAGAAAAATGTGCAACAATGCTACTTTATTTAAAAAATAACTTTTTAAATAAAGTATTTATTTTTTAAATAAAGTGGAAAAGGAACTGAATGGAAATTTTTCCAAAGACGACATGAAAAAAATGTTCCACATCATGATCATCAAGGAAATGTAGAACAAAACCACAATGAGATATCATCTCACCACTGTTAAAATGACTATTATATAGACAAGAGATATATGTTGATGATGACATGGAGCAAAGGGAACGCTTGTGCACTCTAGGTAGAAATATAAACTGATGGAACCAGTATGAAAAAAGTACAGACAGTGCTAAGAAAATTAAACAGAACTATCATATGATTCAGCACCCCCTCCCTTTCTGTGTATATACCAAAAGGAAATGCATGTTCACTGCAGCAGTATTCACTATAGTATTCACTATATTCACATGAAAGAATCAATCTCTAAGTGTTCATCAACATATTAAAAAAATGAGGTTTCATGTATCTGTGGTGAACTACTAGTTATAAAAAGGGAAATCTTACCATTTGCAACAACATGGATGGAATTTATCAGTAAGTTCTGGTAATCTAACATACATGATGACTATAACTATACTGTTACATACTAAGAGTAAGCCTAAATATTCTCACTACCTAAAAAAATTCTCACTACCTAATTATAAGAGGTGACAAATCTATTAACCTATGTGGTAACTGTTTCATAAAACGTTTATCAAGCTATGTCACTGTATACCTCAAACTTACACAATGTCAGATGTCAATTATATCTCCATAAAGCTTGGGGGTAGGGGGATGAAGCACTCAACATTTTCAAATGCTGCTAAGAGATGAAGTGGTAGATTTTCTGAAACAAAAATACTTTTTTTTTTAAAGATTTATTTATTTATTATTTATACAAGCACTGGGTACAGTCAGAAGCGCAGGAGGGTGAGAGAATTCACCAGAGCCAGAACGGGGAGCAGAGCAGGCAGGAGGACCGAAGCACACTGCTGAGGGGAGCAGCGGGCGGCAGGAGAGGTCTGCGCGCCATGTGGGACCCTCCTACGGTGGCCGGGGAGCAGCAGGGGATCGAACCGGCGCTACAGAGGCTGCGGGCAACTTCGCAACCCAGCGCTCAACCGCTGTGCCACCAGGAAGACCCAAAAAATACTTTTTTTTTTTAAAGATTTATTTATGCATAGAAAAATTGGGGTATAGGCCAGAAGTGCAAGGCGTGAGAGGATTCACAAGAGACAGAGTGGGGAGCAGAACAGGCAGATTTACTGAAATGCACTGCTAAGGGAAGCAGTGGGCAAGACAGGAGAGGAGAGGTCTGCTGTACCATATGTGGGTTAGCTCCCTCGCTGGGGATCAAACTCAGACAGTAGTGGTAATAGTGCTGGGACTTACCCTTAGGCCATCAGGGGGGCCCCAAACAAGAACAGCTGTTGTTAGAAGTTGTTTAAGAATTAAAGGTGAAGAAGAGAGTAAGCACAGATCAATCCTTCTAGGCATTTTGTTGTAAAGGGAAGCAGAAAAATGAGACACAGATGAATGGGGATATAGATTTAAGGAAAGGTTTTCTTAGCATTGCAATAATATACTATGTATATAAAATAAATGATTCGGGGGTGATCGAAAAATGGTGAGAGAGAGAGAGAGAGAAAGGGTTGATCAATGCCAATGCGAAGTCTTAAGCAGGGGATGCAATTCAGAGGCAGCGGTCAAGTGAAAGAGTTGGTCTCAGATAAGGGCAAGGGCAATGCATCCTTTATAAAATAACAAGCAATACTGTTGGTACAATGGTGGGAAAATGAAGTACTCTTTTGATTGTTTTTACTTTCTCAATATAGTTAATGAGCTAAGAATAAGGCAGGAAAGAGCCCTGGAAACTTGTGAAAGAGAAAATGTGAGTCATTTGGAAGACTGATAAAGTGATTTTATTAGAGCAATGCAGTAAGGATGACTGGAGGGCAGCTCTGTGATCAGAAAACTGAGGTTTTAAGTTTAGAATAAGAACAGTCAGTACTGGGCCTCCCCTGGTGGCATAGCGGTTGAGCACGGGGCTGCGAAGCTGCCCGCAGCCTCTGCAGCGCCAGTTCGATCCCGGCCACCGGTCAGAGTCCCACATGGCGCAGACCTCTCCTGCTGTGCCCGCTGCTCCCCTCAGCAGTGTATTTCGTCAATCTGCCTGTTCTGTTCCCCGTTCTGGCTCTGGTGAATTCTCTCACCCTCCCATGCTTCTGACTGTACCCAGTGCTTGTATAAATAATCTTTTTTAAAAAAAAAATCAATTCCATTAAAAAAAAAAAAGTCAGTACTTCTAGCCTCCCAGCTCTATTACACAGGTGATAGTTGTCATGTACCCACGTAACTCTTTTCCAAGTCAAATACCAACATATCCTTAACAATCCTCCTTAGATATGGTTTCTTGAATTCTTATACACCTCAGTCACCATTTTCTGGTTCTGCTACAAATCTGCTATTATTTATTTGAAAGTGCGTGGCAACAAGAGAAAACCCCTCTCTATATGTGTTACTACCTTCACTATTCTGGACACCATAGCTACATTGTTATGTACATGAACGAAATGCCAGATGTGGCTAAAATTAAGTTCTCATCAGAAGATTAACTTCCTACCCTGGCATTAAAATACCAAACATCTATTTGGCCCAATTCTCAAATAATATGTGAACTGAGCATTTTCAAACATGTGAGCTTATAGCAAATTTTTCCTCTTTAGAGGGCTTATTATTTACAGCTCATTTAGAATTTTTTGAGCTATTTATTATGGCTGCTTTTCTTACACTTGTTTCTAGTCACCCCAGCTGGAATGTCAGCATTATAAGAGTAATTTACATCCTTTCATTCTTATTATGTAAAATATTCCATACATACTTGGTGGATCAGCATTTTCTTCTCCAGGAGTATCTGAAGTTGACAACAACTATGAAACAGGAGAAAGGTAGTAAAATCAGAAACCTCAAGCTATCTCAGCAGGGCAACATTAAAGTAAGTATACCTTAAGTAATGTTCATAATCTAAAAAACAAAGTAAGTTGCATACTTCATTTTGCATTGGTTTATCTTAACACAAAAATTTCCTTGAATTTCACCTACTTTTAAAATTAAAATTTAAGTATTTCCCTAGTTTCAAAAAAGTAGAATAAAGTACTAATGGCTTCTCATTCCATTCAGAAAGTTGTAGATGTTCAAAACTCTAAAAAGTTACTTTTTGTACTTTTTGTTTGATTTTCTGGAAAAGATGGAATACAGTAAAGATATTCCTCTAACCCCACCACATACTTGCACAGTGGCAGTTGAGTTTTCAAAAATCAAGAAACAAAGAAAAATCTTGTTTGAAAAGCTCTGAACAAAAAAAGGTAGTTATAAAATTCAAATGAAAGGTGTCACTAATATGGAGTAAAAGGAAAACAAATAAAATACCTTCTTCCCACAATAATAACTTATCATTCAGGAGACTTTAATGTTGCCAATAAGAATACATTTACCTGTTCAAGCAGATGAGGATATCTAGCTTGAATTTCATCAACATACTCCTGTCCTTTCATTCGTATCAAGAATTCACACCTGAAATAGCAAAGGAAAATTGGTTTTAAACCACTAATGTAAAGAAATGTAAACAAAAATGGCATTCGAACTCTGTATCCAATGGTATAAACATTTTACAGCACAATCATGTACACATACCAAACAGAAACAAATCTCTCACGAAATAGGTACAGTCTTGGTATGTGTTGATGCATTTTTACATTTTCCATATATTTCCATTAACACAGTAACAAAAAAGCCTGGACCTATGAAAGAACAAAAGCTGAGACCTGAAAAATGTTGTTCTAGGCATACACTTTGGGGACTTAACATTACCAGAAACAGTAATTCAATATTCCTAAAATTCAATATTCCTTCATAGAACTGTTCATCTTTCTCCACTGTCCATTCCTCTATTATATTTGAAGTGCAAAATCTCTCTTTAAAAAATAGAATCAAGTATATATATGATGTGAAGTGTTCCCCTAGTATTTGTTTGCAAGCTACTAAGTCTTCCCAAAGATGTTCCAGAAAATTCACAGTATATGTTTCCATCAAATTTGTTAACAACAAATGGTAGTAGACACCTAGTTTTCCATTTGCAAAAAAACTAATGGCATTCAACCTATGCTCACACTATATACAAAAATAAACTAAAATTGAAACCTATACCCCAATGTAGACCTAAAACAATAAAACTTCTAGAAGAGAAAAATCTCCTTAAGATCTCTTACATGAGACCAACAGCATAATCCATAAAAGATAAAACTGATATACTGAGATGAAAATTTAAGATTTCTATTCATCAAAAGATACTATTAAGGGGCCTCCCTGGTGGCACAGGGGTTAAAGACAGCGCTATCAAGCGATTGCCAGCCACTGCAGCATGAGTTCAATCCCCGGCTGGCCAGGGAACAACCCACATGGCACAGCAGACTTCTCCTGCCTCGTCCACTACTCCCCTCAGCAGTGCATTTCAGTAGATATACCTGTTCTGCTCCCTACTCTCTCTGGTGAATCCTCTCATCCTCCCACACTTCTGGCTTACAACACAGTTCTTGTATGCAGAAATAAATAAATCTTTAAAAAGATATTAAGAAAATGAAAAGCAATGGACTGAAAGTTCACTAAACTCAGCTAAATAAGAAACTGTATCCAGAATATGTTAAGAGCTCTTAAAAGTTATTAAAAATGGTCAAAAAATTTGAACAGACACTTCACAATGATGTACAGATAGGAAACAAGCAAATAAGATGCTCACCATTATTTGTTAAGGACATACTGATTCAGACCACAATTAAAAACCACCACAAACCTATCAGAAAGGCTAAACTCAGATGACAATTCCAAGTGCTGAGGATGTCAGAAAATAATTTGGCAGTTTCTCATATATTTTAAACAAAACTTGCCATATAACCCACCAATCCCACTTGAAGTATTCACCCAAGCAAAATGAAAACAGATGTCCACACAATGTTCAATGTTTCCAGTGGCTTTATTCATTATGGCTCCATGCTGGTAACATGCCAGTGTCCTTCACCTGGCAAATGGGCTATTAGTAGAGATTACAGAAGCAAGCTCAACACTTGTTTCTCACCTCAATATCACAACTAGCTATCACTGTGTTCTTTCTCAGTACACAACTATGTATTTATTTTGGAACTGGTTTATACTGATAATGATTAAAGAAACGAAGCATGATGAACCCTGGCTGGCCCAAATTTCCCCCTTCTTCAATAAATTTTATTAGGACAAAGATTTTTGTCTCTTATTTGCTGACATATCCCAGCAATAAAATAGAATCCAGTAGAAGCCCAAATATTTGATAAATGAATTATGTTAAAATGTAATGATAACAATTATTCTGTTTAGTTTTTCATCTACTGAGGTTAAAGATTATCCACAACTGAAATTTGTTGCTTTAGGAAGTGTTTTTTATAGAAGCATCCCAGACCTTTCCCCCCATTTAACTATCTAAAACAAAATACAAACTACAACAATAAATCAAGATTTATTGGTTTTGCTTTATAGAGGACAAAATGTGGCAACTCATACACTAGTTAGATATGATTTTGTCTTTTTAATACCATATTAATTCTGTGTCAAATTATATGTAATTACCGAAAGTGAGCTATAAATGTCATTTAAAATTCTAACAATAAAATGCTTTTCCCTAAATAAGAAAACAAAATGTCACTTTTAAGCATCAGAAAGTCATTTTTATGTTGGTATATTTTGGATCTTAAAGATGTAATTCAAAAATGTCTTTTAACAATATCCTGAATCATAATAAAATATTACTTCAAATTTATCATGGAATAACAAAAAAAAGGATTTTTTAATTTCCTAAGGGGTTCAAGAGATTCCTCATTATTGTGAAAGGCACTAAAAGTGAAAGTATTGTCTATATCATATAATCCCACTTAAATGAGATACCCACAGTAGGGAAAATGCCAAGAAAGTAGAAAGGTGGCTGTCAGGGACTGGAGGAGGGACAAATGCAGAATTAGTATAATGAGTACAAGTTTCAGTTTGAGAGGGCGAAAATGATCTGGAAATGAACAGTAGTAATAAATGAGGAAAAAAGTGAATATACTTAATGCCACAGAACCATATACTTAAAAATAGTTAAGGGCCTCCCCTGGTGACGCAGCGGTGAGCGCTGGGCTGCGAGGCTGCCTGCAGCCTCTGCAGTGCCGGTTCATTCCCCGGCCACCGGGGAGGGTCCCACAAAAAAAAAAATATATATATATATATATATATATATATAGTTAAAATGATAAACTTTGTTATGTGTACTTTGTCACAATTTTTTTAAAAAGTTACCTACTTCAACACCCTCATTTACCAGATGAGGTTCAAAGAAGTTGCATGATTTACCCAATTTCACCTAGTTATTTAATAACAAAGAATTAATTTCTAATCGTATTTTCAGTAACAACACTGCCTCTAAATTCTTCACAGGCCATAGCAAAGATAAGAGATACTGTTAGAGACAGAGTGACTAAACGAAAATAAATGACCTATCACAAGATCATTGTATAGGAAAAATTTACAATTATAATCAAACCTAATAAAATGTTTCTATATGCATTTTCACGTCTTATTTCTACATCTATTTTACAGCCTTACTTTCTTTTTCCTTTCTTGCCTTTTTCTGGTTTATGTCCCTTTTGGGTTCTATTTTATGTATCTTTTAATTCTCAAGTCTTCTTTGAAGAAAAATGAGATATATAAATGAAATGTATGACCACAATTATGAGTAATCAAAATTAAGCTAAATTATATCCTGAATCCATGGCTTATGAGAACGACATAAGGCATTCTACATTTTTTTCATCAAAATAAAGTTAAAACGTGGTGTTTTAAAAGGTTAATTTCCAGTGGTATAAGAGAAAGCTTTGTTATACCAAAATCTAAACAATCATGCAAGCATGCCTACTTCTTTTAAGCAGACTTCTGTGTGGGAATACTTTCCAAAATAATTACCTTGGAAACCACTTGGCATGTTCCATCCACGGATCATCTCCAGATTCCCAACACCTCAGTCCACCATCACAGCAAAAGCATTTGACATCATCATTACGACCTAAAGAAAACAATACACACCAGTTCTAGTATGTACATCGAAATGAACCGGATAAAATGTACTGCTGTGTTAGTGTGCTTCTTACCCACACAATAGAAGCCAGCACTTGCAAGTTGTTCAGGCCGAACTGGAACACTAGATGGCCAGTAGGTAAATGTTCTCAGTCGAGCTGTATGTGTTTGCATGCTCAAATTTGAAATGCTAAATCTTAGTGCTCCTGGAGAATTTTCCAGAAATGGACAGTTGGGGAAATGTCTCCGGTGTTCTGACATAGCATCATCCTTTGGTTCCCAGTTGCTCAGCGTCCCACCACAGGCAAAACAGGCAACCCTATCTCCAGGCCCTAGATAATAAAATCCTGCTTTGGCCAATTCTGATGGCGACAAAAAAGTTAATGGCCACATATGATAAGTAAGAAATCTGGCTTCTTCGGTACTCATAGCATAACTGTAGGGGTTGGTCCTCACTGGGGAGAAGTCTTCAACTGTTCTAGAATTAATAGGGTTTAGTGAAAGATTGGAGTAAGAACCACTAGATGAGCTACTGTGTTCCAAAGTGGGAGATAATGAATGTGCAGAATTGGTTCTCACTAGAGAATTATTCTTCTTAAAGGTGAATTCCAGATTAGTAACAGAAAGCAGATTCTGAATAAAGCTACAACTAGGATATAACTGTTTATGCTTTTCAATTGGATTGTCTCCTTGTTTCCAGTTATCCAGCATCAGGCCACAACAGAAGCATTTGACCTTGTCAATCACACCAGTGTAATAAAAACCTGCACGAGCAAGACTCCTTTCCGAGACAGGAACTCCAGCAGGAAAAGATGAATATGTAGACATTCTGTAGAGTTCACATGAAAAGTCGTATTTCATTTTCTGTTTGTTGTCATTTGTCCAATTTGACAAGACTGTGCTATCTTCCATTATAGTCTTAATTTTTTGACACGAAGAACCTATGACAAGTCTTTGGGAGGTAGTTTTGTGCATGAGTGATTTTACTTCTTGACAGCTAAAAAACTTCACATGAAATTTCTCATTTCTTCACACTAGATTTTAACCACAAAACAGAATCAAATGATAGGCTCCTACTTAAGTAAAACTTACTACATCTACTTTTTCTGGATTCATGCTGCAGTTTACACTCAGGTGGGATCAATCTCTCTCCTAAAATACCAAGATAGTATTTCGTATTCTTTGGGATTATAGTTAAGTCTTCTAGGTAACTCAAGTGCCTGGTTTGTCATATATTGGTCTAATCCTATCCTAATGGCTCAAAAGAAGTTTGTGTATTTGAAAAAGGTTTGTAATCCCTTTGTAATTTTAAAGCTTTAAAATTCTAAAGGATGATAAAATACCTAAATTGTGCCTTTGCTTTTGGTTACAAACTACAGATATTAGACTAATTACTCATTATGCTGCAAGAAAAAATGTATAGGCAGGCTTCTTTCTCTATAAGCACTTGATATGAAAAAGTATCTTGTTTTACCCTAGTAAACAAGAATTAGTGTTCAGAGGGTCACATTGCCTACAGGCTAATTTCACACAGCTTATTATCATCTACTTAAGTGGGTTACACCAGCTTCAGTTAACAACCTCTGAGGATGTTAACACAAGACCCACAAGCTTTGTTGAACTAAATGGCTGTTATACTACATCAAATGAATTTTAAAGTTCACAAACTGCTAACTCTTCCATTTTTCTTAAGTATTTACCTGTTTCCATTTCCTACAGCACCATTATGTTGTCTTTCTTCCAAACTTTGCATACCACTTTATTATACTTGATGGATGGAAGCTATTATCTCCATAAACTAGTAAACCATAAAAGCTGCACAGCAGAAACTTTTGCTGCATTTGAAAATTAAATAACCTATCTTTTACTTGAGGATCACAGACCTCTATTATTCATTTTACAATGAAAGCGCGAGCAATTTGTCAAACTACTGTTTGACCTGTCTAATGCTATCACAAATAGCTAACAAAATATTGTATTACCAACAGGATTACAGCTTATGCATAATGTAGCAGTACTAGCCTTCTTTCTGAAAACACTTCAAATTTTAACAATATACTTCATACACAAAATTACACTCCACAGAATCAAACTATATCCCTTTATAAAGTTTCTGGGTGTCCAAGTTGGGATTTATTACTGGGGAGATGGAAGGAGGAGAGTGGGTGAAAGGAAAAAAGCAGACTCTTCAGGGCTGCAGATCTGAAAAAAAAAAAAAAAAAAAGCTGTAGTTCAGTTTACTCGATAAAATACGATTTACACTTTAGAAAAACACATCTTAATTCCAGCAACTTGTAACCCAAACTTTCTAACTGGGAAAGCTAAAATAAAAAAGTTAAAACTAAAACAAATAGAGTCTATCACCTGAGTGCTAAATACACAGTCTTAAATGTACAAGTTTTATAGACAATGGACATTTCCACATAGGAAAATGTTTTGTCCTTGGGTTTTTGCCCCTTTTTGGTGGCAACTTTTAATAGTTTAAGGAGAATATCTCTGGGAGTTTGCGAGAGGCAAAGGAGGACAGGAAGACACTACACCCCATCCACAACTGCACAGAATTAACTAATTTTGTTAATATCCAATCTCTTTAGGACGAAGCACCGGCCAGAATGAGTAAAACGCATCAGCATTTAGTAACCAGCTTCTTAACCTCTACAGTCCTCCCGCGTCGTCACAGAAAGCAACTGGGAACAACGCAGGCCGGGGTTTGTGCAACACTGGCCTCGAGCACGAACGTTTTCCTTCCACCAGGATTTGGCAATCCGCGTCCGTCACGGATCGATTTGTATCTACGAGCGACGCCCCCGCGGAGTTTGCTTTGTGCCGAGCCGCAGCTGCACCGCGGCGTGGCTTCCAAGAAGTAACGCCCTGGACCGTTTTTTCACACCTGTAAGCGTTTTACCCGTCCGAGCGCAGCTGCGCGTGGGCACCCGTACCGCCCGCGGGGCGCGAACAGCGAGGTACCCCCGCGTCCCGACTCTTGTCCCCACGGACGGCCCAAAGGCGGGGGGCGCGGGGGGAGAGATGCGGCCGCCCCGCCGCGGGCCCGCGTCCACCAGGGCTGAACGCCGAGGCCGAAGCTGAAACCCAGCCGGACGCCCAGAGCCCCTGGAGCCCAGGCCGGGAAGTGGTCAGCGCCCAAAACGGCCCCGGACGGTGACTGCGGAACCCGCGGCCCCGGAGCCGTTTCCGCTGGCGCGCCGCGCCCTCCCTCACGCCGCCGGCCCGGGACGCGGCGCACTCACCGCAGAGCCGGCGCAGCCCACACGAGCGGCCGGGGTTCCGGCGCAGCCGGGAGCAGCGGCGCCGACCAGGGTCCCACGCTCCGCCGGCCCCCGCCCCGCCGAGTCCACGCAGACGCACAGTGACGTCAGCGCGCCGGGCGTAGGTCGCCTCACGCCGCGCGGCGCCGGGGAGTCTGCGGCCGCCGAACGGGAGGGGGCGGCGGTCGGAGCCCTTGGAGCGAGTCTTCCAGAGCCCCTCACGCCCCCGAGGGGAGGCTGCGGACGCGGCGCGGCTGCTCTGCGGAGTCGCCAGGCCTCACCCCCCCGGGCCCGGCCTCACCCCCCCCGGGCCCGCCCTCCCGGCGGAGCTGACTGTGCGGAGAAGGCGGCGCCGCGCCGGCGTTTTTGCTTCAATAATCAACAGCTGGGGCCGTTTTTCAAAGGCTCGCGGCCTCCGCTGCGGGGGCCGTTTTGGGGCCGAGCGCGGCTGCGTGGCCCCGACGCGCCCCGGCTGGGCGGGGGCTGGAGGAAGGGGCGTGGGAAAGTCGGCCTGCGTCAGAGGATTCGTTTGAAGGCTCGATTTTATCATCCTCTAAGGAGGGTGCGGATTCCAGCGTCAACTCTTGTGTCTAACTTTGGGGGGTTTGTTCTGGAGATAGAGGCACTAATGAGTGTGTTCGTGGCCAGCAGGCATCACTGGGAATGTGGACGGGGGTCTCAGGCCAAACCTCACCCCTCGTTTTTAACTAACGTGCTAAAACAACTCTCCACTCTTGTGCGTTGTATTTGATCGTAATGAACCACAGACAAGCCCCCCTATCGATGGCATTTTTCGGAGTTAACTGACCGAAAGATTATACATTCAAAAATCTCGGTTTTAGTAGTCGTGGACATTTCGTCTTCCCGCGGCTATTGCCCGGAGCTGTGTGACCTGCGGTAAATATTTGTTGTATTGCGGCGAAGACACTTTGTCAATGAAATCAGATATTTGCTTCTCTCGGGGGAACTCCAGGGGGCAAACATTTCAAAAACTTCCAAATAACAAGCCACTTAATTAGGCAGCCAGGGGAATTCCAGGACCCTGAACCATTTCCCATTTCCTGCCACTGTCATTTCTGTGCGACAGTCAGCCGCAGAACTGGAGGTCTTCGGTTGTAAGGTGAGGAATAAAAAGAAAGTATTTGCAGCCATTTGTGATACAGAGAAAAATGCCAAGGCTCCCAATGACTAAACACTTCCAAATATGCACATGTGTCTCAGTACTGGTTCAGTATTGAGTTCAAGTACGATTTCTCGGAAAGTTACAGAACTTCCCTTATGTATGTGGGAAAATGTATAGGTCAAGTGTACATAGCAAGAATGGTTCATTTTGAATTCAAGATCATTCTTTTTCAGTTTTTGTCCTGACCAAAAAAGTAAGATAATGAATATACTTCATTTAGGGGAAAATTTTGATTTCCAAAACTCGGAGGCCTGAGCTATTTTTCCTCCCAAAAGCAGTAATATTGAAGTATAATAAATATTACTCCTTAGCTTATTTTATACAACGTTATATTTTAGTGTTAAATTATTCAGCTGTGGGAGTTGAGAAGATTCACCAGAGACAGAGTGGGGAACAGAATAGGCAGACTGACCGAAATAGACTGCTGAGGGGAGCAACGGGGGAATCAGGAGAGGTCTGCTGTGCCATGTGTTTATCTCCCTGGCCGGGAATGGAACTCGTGCTGCAGTGGCTGGGGATAGCTTCATAGGTTGTATCTTAACCCCTGGTGCCACCAGTGTAGAGTTGCTGATGACTTTTAATAATAGGGCCTATAGTTCTACCCAGGTTGCCCTCCTAATATTTTTTGATAAATAACATTTTTTGAAAAAAACATTTACAGATCCAAGATAATTTTGAGGGAAAAAAAGATTGAAGGCATTTTTGCACCAATGAGTTATATAATAAAGCCCTATTAGTTAAAACAGGATTGTATTAGCACAGGGTGGCCAAAGGAACAAACTGAAAGAACCTCCCAAAAACACTATATGACAAGTATCTTTATTAATCAAAGGATTTGAAGACTTTAGGCTATAATCCATCGCTGTTATTGTCATTATTGTTCAAGTTGTTTTAGCCCTATGGGAGTTTTTTGCATTGACTCTTCAATCCTTTTGACATAGTCCTAGTAGTCTTTTATTACTTTCCAGGCTGGTATTACACATTTCTTACACATGCCTGTAATAAGTCATTTATTCAAAATACCCCAGTTGCTTTAGTGAGACAAGGTAAAGTCCATAATCTGAATGCTAGTGATGCTGATTAGCATTGAGTTGTATTTCTTATAATTTGTTGCATGAACAGACCTCAGTAATACACTCTTTTGTTTTTTAATAAAATGTATCATGAACTCTTACTTCCAATTCAAACTCAAGAAATCAAGGTTTCATTTAACCTCATTGATTATACATCTGTAATTTGCTTCCTTCACATTCAAAAGTCCCCATTCTTCCTTCTCTCTTCATGCCCAGTGGTTCTGTTTTAAATATTTTATGGTTCCTTTTAATGTTTTAAATTAATTATATATTGTGTACAATCAGATATAGTATAATAAGTAGTACCATATCATAATATTACAGAATATACATGAACTAATTTGAATTTTGGCCTAACAAAACATACAAGTTGCTATTTTCAGTCATGACCCCCCTTTAGAACTCCCTATTCTGTTGTAACCCCCCCATTCTTTATCAACTTTATCAAACAGTAAGATCAAAAAGTGGACATTCCTATGAGATGTCACTGTGTTGTCCCCATTCACACAGAAGCACATAAAAGCACAGAAATGTGAAATAATTTGCCAGAAGTTACTTGGCTGTAGTTTGAACCCAAAACCTGCCTTTTTAATCCCTGTGCTATACGATCTTTCTTAAATCACAGTGAGTCTCAAATGAGATTATGTATATAGACACCAAGGTACATGCAAGTCCAATAAATATATTTAGTTATTAAGATTATAATAATGCCTATATTTGACTTTTTAGAATGCTCTTTCCTAAACTGAAATGCCTTGCTTCATCATTCAGAGAACAGTGCCAAGTCCCATCTCTTACGTGAATCTTATTTTAAGGGTTGATCTTTCCTTGCCAAAAATTCCTTTAGATATCTAAAGAAGTGCAGAATTTGACTTATGATTCTCCATGAATGATTAAGCCTTCATACTTTATCAACCATGGTAATGAAGGAAGAAAAAAACCCCTCTTATGTTCCTACCCCAGAAAATTATTAACTCATTCATACATTTAATGAGGGCCTATTCTTGTCAGTCATGATGTGAGGTGCTAGACATACTGGTATATGAAATACATGATTCTTGTCTCATGGAAATATGGACAACAGAATATGACATTAAACAAATATGTGAAAAATTGTGACACTGAAGAAACAAAGGCCAATAGAAAGACAGTCTAAGGGATATAATTTTTTTAAAACAATTTTTTTAAAGATTTATTTATATGTGAACTGGGGTACAGTCAGAGGCGGGGGCGGTTGACAGATTTCACCAGAGACAGAGCAGGGAATAGAGGTCGGCTTCAGCATGTGGGTTGCTCCCTGTCCAGCCGGGGATCGAACCTGCACTGCAGAGGCTGCAGTGACAGCTTCACAGCGCAGAGCTCAACCCACTGCGACACGGGAAGACCCCCTAAGGGATATAATTTTGATGGGTAAGTCAGAGAAGTTCTCTGAGCTTTAAAGCAGTATCTAAGCTGAGACGTTTTAGAATGAATAGAAAAGTGTTAAAGAGTGAATGAAAGAACATTCCAGCCAAAGACCCTGAAGCAAAAGAGCCTGTCATGCTTAGAAACTGAAGAAATTCAAGGTACCTGGGATAGTGTGAGCAATGGGGAGAGTAGCAGAAAATTGACACTGAAAATTACACAGGGCCAGGTCAGACACTGATGAGAACAGGTAGATTGTGCAATTTGAGAAAAAACAGCATTATTTGCACATTACAAACTCTGGAAATTAGGCCTTGCCTAACTTTTCCTGACAAGAGGGGTGTGAATGGGCGTGGTCTTAAAAAGAATGAGTCATGCTGATTCACTAACCTTCTTTGTTTCAAGGGTATTAGTCGTCTAAAACAATCCCTTAAACATCACATCTAATATTTTCTTTGCATATCTAGTACAATATGTAAGATGTCAAAAGGAGCTGAAGATTGTTGAATGACACTCCTGTGACCACAAAGGAAGTTACTGATTAATAACAAAAGGAATAAAAAGAGTGGCTGGAATTTAAAGCAAGCAAGCCTTGAGTCTGATATTAAGTCCACAGCAGAGTTCAGAATTTTAACACTTACTACACGTTGTATATTGAGGTTTACATTTCTGGCCAACTCTGAGAACTGAAGACCAGGTCCGATGGAAGGTAAGGTTATAAAAAAAATCAAGTGAATTAATGCCTGTCAAGCACAAAAATTCAAAAAATGGTGCCTGACATATTGTCAGCAAATAAAAATTCAATCCAACACTTAAGGAAATAAAATTATTTTAATAAATTAGTGGGTTATATTAGCTATAACCAAAATGAAGAGGAATTTCATAGTGGAGATGGCAAAGTTCAAATACTACATACAGTATGCAATAAAAAACAGATCCAAAAATAGATGCTGCCAAAAGGGTACATACTATTTATGTCTCCTATAGCTGGTTGCAAACACCTAAACAATATTACATTTAAGTCCGCCTCCCATCCCAGGAAGACAATGGCTAGCAAATTGCTCCACACCTGAACCTTTTAACAGAGAGAAAATCAGTTGCATCCCAAAGAAATAGCCTTCCAGCATCAGAAAGGATATTTGCATTCTCTCTCCCTTTTGTGGCTCCTAATCTTTCTCTGCAGAACGGTAGGCAACATTTAGAGCTAGTTTAGATGCTTGATCTTTGCCTGTTCTCCCAAAATAGCTTCCATTACATGTGTACTTCTGATCTTAAAGCTCTAACAAGACTAAAGGAAATAAAAAAGGCTAAAGAATTATGAATCGGACATGTTGAGTATCAGAATGTAGTGCAGGAGGAAATTTTGCTGCACTGACAGTACAGATTTATTTACCAAAAAAGCTATTGGTTGCCAGGGCTGCTAAGTCCCAGCAGTAACACCAAAGTGGTGAGACTACACTAGGGGTTTTTCCCAATGGGGAGGACCGACATGAACCCCCTGAACAAAAGGACAAACTTACTGAAAAGATTGTAACTTCATCTCAAATGTCCCATCTAATCCTACGGATTAAAGCCAGGTGAGTTGACAGCTGTAAACGAAGAAGCAGTTTATAGAAAGGTATCAAACCCCTAGTTCAATGTTGACGTCTTAAGGAGGTATGAAAGGAAACTGATACTGACTGAACTATTTGATAGTATAGAAATAAACATATTAAGAACAAAAGTGATATAAATTGCTTTATTAAAAAGTGCACCATAGAAGTCTCCACAAAAACACTATGTCCCTAAAAGGTCACTCAAAAATATCCAGACCTACTATTATAAGGTTCTAGGTTCTTAATATAACTCAAAAAATAGGGAAAATTCTGAAAGGTTAACTCAAAAACTTAAATTTTATTTACAATTTCAATAGTGTGGAAATTTTGATTTAGTATTGTGCTTGTAGTGCTACCCCTATGTTTTGTTCACAAGAACAAAAGCGTATGTATTATTCTCTTGGTATTTATATTTTTTCATGTTTTAGTTACATATATAAATATATTTACATAAAATAAAATTTTCAGAATTACGAATAAATTAAAAATCTTAAAGAAACCAAATCAGTATAAAAATTTAAATTACATTCAATCCATTAATTTTAAAGTTCAGAACAACTTTTAGCTCTTCTTCATGAAAGAAATGTACGAACTGTACCCTTGATTGTTCCTCTACAAATAGGACATTTTCTTAGAGAAGGGGCACAATCCTTGCAGACTACCAGATGACCACAAGGAATGAACACTATGGACACTTCTTTGTCCATACACACTTTACATGTTCTTTCTTCTTGTAGTCGCCTCAATTGTTCTTCCATTGATAAATCTAACAAGAGAAAAGAACTTTTAATAAAAGGCAATTTGCTACTTCTCCGATGAAATTCCAAGAAAATAAAACTATACTTTTGTACTGATTTAAATTATCAGTACTGTTTTACCTGAAACATCCTCTGTGGGAATATACTTTATGTCCTGTTCAACTAGAGAGAAAAGGGAAAAGGATTACTATGACAAATAAGGTTAATTTTTAGTCATAGAATGCATACTTTTGAACTAACAGTTTAGATTCTAGTCAAATACTACATATTATTGTCATAAAATCAAAATAACAAAAATCTTTAATTTTATTTGTGCAATTAGTAGTTTATAAAGTGAATTATTTTCAATAATTCAAAAATTATCAATAAAAGCATATTTTTCAATTGACATAGGAAGTTCCCAGAAAAAATTTCCAATACTCACCAAATAAATGCTTGTATAACACGGGGTCAATTTCTTGCAGAGCACTTTTGAACATGGCGGCTGCAAAATTTCCTTTGACTAAAATAGTATCAATCACTTCTCTTGCTTGTAAAGATATCTGTGTTTTCTGTCTAATAACATCATGTTCTTGTTCACTAATCACCCTGGCAGTTAGTAGACTATCCAGGATTGGAAGCACACATGTCAAATGTTGAAAAAGTGCCATTCTGTTCTTCCGGATTAACAATAGATCATCTTTAAGTAAAAGAAAACAAACAAGTTCAAATTCTGTTCACAATCATCCTTCCACATTGACACATAAAGTTGTATGAAAATAAAATTCTTAATCAGCTGGCAACTACTAACTTTTAAGGGTTCCTGATCCTCAGGGCCTATAGCAATGCTACAGATGATGAGGACTAACACTGAGCACTGTGATAAATACTTCACATGTGTTAACTAATTTCACCATCACATCAATACTTTGAGGTGGGTATTACTACTCTTATTAGCACTGAGAAAATATGGACCCTGTAAAGCAAGTAAGTTCTGAAGCAGAAAATCAAAGGGAGGCAGGCATTGCTACAATCTGTGTTCCAAAGTATTCTGCATTACTGCTAAGCCTCTAACCAAATGAAATTTAGAATCTAAATTTCATTATTTTCCCATATTAGACATAATATTGCCATTACTTAAGTATTTTAGAGTAAGGGGGAAAGGTGCTAGTAACATGTTGAAAAATAAATCCAATTTGTCAATGATAACTTCCTGTCCTGCAGGATCATTATAATCCCCTTCAAGACCTAGATTTTGTACCTATTGGTAAAATATTTTATATTTTGTTATATATAGATATATTTTAAACTCTGCAAATTTTATTATCTCCTTGGAAAATGAATTACAAATTTACTTAATCATATCATTTTACTATGATCTATATAGCTATTTCCATAAAATAATGACAGAAATTGAGCTATCAAAGCAATTTTGGCAGGGAGAAGATTGTTTAGGGGAAGATGATTGATTCTGTCAAGTAAAAGGACACATAAATAGAACCCTCTAATAAAGAATAAAACATACTGCTTAGTCAAAAAATCAAGCCAAAGAATACAGCAGTGATGCTAAGAAGCTAAGGAATCTTTTTGATAACGCAGATTATTATATAAATTGACGTCTAGTCATCTCTGAGACTGTTGATTTTCTTTAGAAGAAATATAAATATTTATGGGCCTCCCTGGTGGTACAAGGGGTTAAGTCTCAGCACTATGAAGCTATCCACTGCCACTGCAGCACGAGTTCAATCCCTGGCCAGGGAGCTACCCACATGGGGCAACAGACCTCTCCTGTCTCGCCTCCTGCTCCCTTCAGCAATGTATTTCAGTAGATTCGCCTGTTCTGCTCCCTACTCTGTCTCTGGTGAATTCTCTCACCCCCTGCACCTCTGGCCTGTACCCCAGTTCTTATATGCATAAATAAATGAATCTTTTTTAAAAAAGAAATATAAATATTTTGTATCTGGATAGCTTTTTTTTAATTTCTTTTTTTTTAAAGATTTTTTTTAATTTATGCAAGAGCTGGGGTACAGGCCAGAGGTGTGGGAGGGTGACAGGATTCACCAGAGACAGAGCAGGGGACAGAACAGGCAGACTGAAATACACTGCTGAGGGGAGGAGCGGGCAAGACAGGCAAGATCTGCCATGCCATGTGGGTATCTCCCTGGCCAGACAGGAATTGAACCTGCGCTACAGAGGCTGTGGACAGCTTCACAGCACTATGCTCAACCCGCTGTGCCACCGGGGAGGCCCTATCTAGATAGCTTTAGACTTTGTGGAATGTATAAATGATTGTGCAGGTGAGCATTTGAGTAATTGCTGTCAATGACCAACAGCTAAGTCTGAGAAGACCAGACATACATAAGCAGTCTGACCTTCATTGTAGAAAAGAGAATTTGACTAGGCTAAGCAAAGATGCACTTAAACTGTGTTGCTTCTCTGCTGTGGTGTGCAGAACTAAGTAACTCACACTCTGGTAGATATAGGATGCTTATTCTATGGTCAGATATGGGTTGGCTGTAACACAAATTCACTTTCATGGCTAGCAGTAGGTTTATCCAGAAATGGAGTGGATAATATCACTGCCAATCATCCTGGGAAGAAATGAATCCCAGAAGGTCTTAAGCAAGGATGAGGAGCAAACTTTTTTCTTTTTCTGTACTTTACGGACAATTATGTGCTGATTTTTGATGAGGAAAAACTTGCCTGGGACTTTACTAGTCATTTGTGTAAGCTGGCCAGAGCTACACAGACAAACCAGAAGGCAGACAGATTCCTGAGCATGATTTAGGAACCACCAAGAGAGTCACATGCAGTTATCAACTGTCATCTGTGATTTAAGTCTCTTCTATTATCCCTAAATCTCCAGTAAAAACGTGCTAAAATTTGCATCCTGTTTCGGCTTTGTTAAAAGGACTTATGCATCTGATCCACACTTGGGAAAGGAAAGATCCACATTTTTCTGTCGAGGTCAGTGTTGATAATGGTCAGAAGGACCAGATGAGAATGCACATGCTCAGAGGAAGAGAAATTCTTGTGACAGGCAAGAGAGCGGCAGACATGGCCAAGCATGCAAGGACAGGGGTAACCTGCCTGAGAGCATATGAAATAGTACCCAAGGACTCAATAAAATAACAGGGACAGGCCAAAGGGGTTATCAGTTCTTGTGTGGGCAGGTAAGGAACTTAATCATAATTTGTACCTTAACATATGGTCACATGCTGAGACACACTGCAATGCTAGTATTAAAATTAATTCACTTAGGTATAATTAAGAATTAGGGACAATTGCTTCTCAGCCTTTTGGCTAAGATCAAGTGAAGAATTAGGGACAATTCCACCCCAATTTGAGTAAATAGGAGCGAGCCACTAGCTTGGGATCAAAAATGTGACATAAGTAACAGCCAACTACCCAGCATATACATTTTTAATGTACCAAGCAATTAAGATGAGAAAATATTTTTCAGAATTCAAAATCAGAATACTGAACGTAAGAAAAATCTGATTCAATCGACTCTAAGTATATTTTCAGTAATTTACATACAGTAACTGTAAATACTTTTGGAAACAGACTGTGGTCATGGAGGTACCTGATTCTTTTTCTTCAGTTGCTCTTTCTTTCTCCTCTTCCCTTATCTCATCTTCTGCATCAAGTAAATCTACTACAAGATCACTGACAGTTTTGTAATTCTCTCCAGCTGTCAGGATTTTACTCTGAACTGTCAGTTTGACCAGTCTTCTGCTGAAGCCCATTTCCAGGGCAGCTTTAACCACGGGTGTGTTCATCATGACTGCATCTTCTGTGTGGTTCTCACCAGGTCCAAAATGGATAACTACACAGGGGAAGTAATTTAAAATAGATTAGCACTGCCTGTACTTTTTCAAATTTAAAGTTATTACAATATAAATACATTAAACTCCAAAAAAGGATAGGCACTATTTTTAAATTAAATTTCTTGAAATGGTATACATGTTCGGCAAACTCAAAAATAATGATATACAGAGTCACTAAAATAAGACTATGAAAAATTATATGCATATAAAATATGCATTATCTGGCATAACCACGAGTGGGAGGAGGAAGCAGAAAGTCACCCCCACCCGAGCTGAGTCTTCTTTCTCGTGTTGCAAGTACAAATAAGCTTTCTTTCAAAATCAAATGTTCCACAGATTTTTGAAAGAGGCCACTGTCATCATGCACTTCCATTACTTCAACGGCCTTCTACAATATTTCTCCCTTCTAATTCTCAACATTACAAACAGAGTGACTTTTCAAACACAAAAACTAATTGTGTTATACTCATATTCCATCAGCAACTTCTATGATAAAAGCCAAAATGCAATGTCACTAATAAGATCTCATACAGGGGGGATCCTGTTCATCTGTGGAGTTTCATCTCCTAACACTAGCTCATCTGCCTTCTAATCCTGGGGTCACCAACTGATGGCCCTTGGGTCAAGTTTTGCCTGCACCCTGACCACTCTTGCACTGGGCGTACTTCATTCATTCCGTGCATCTGGTCATACAGAATTTTGATGAGTTCTTCAAATTTGTCTGTTCTCCTTTGTGATGTAAGTCTTTCATATGCTGTTCTCTCTGCCTGGAATATTCTTTTCCTCCCTTAGCCACTTGGTTAACTTCTCCTTTTCCCTTTGATTCTGTGCTAAGACCGATACTTGCTTTGGAAAGCCTTTTCTGACACTCCAAGTCTGAGATAATAGTCCCTCATCCACTCTCCTCACACACTTCACTTTCCCTGTCATCTTCGCCTCTCTTTTCCATCGATTAATCTGTGTCCCTTCCACTAGTGGCACACGAGAGAATTATGTTTGTCCTGTTCCCTATTCTCTCCACAGAACAGCAGATAGACAATAAATATTAGAATGAAGTGAACCCTGAGGACGTTGTGGAAGAGCTTGTTTAAGTACTGGCTCTATTGCCTTTAGGCTTAGGTGATGGGCAGATCACTTCACCTCTGAGCCTCAGGATCCCTAATAAAGAATCAGAATACCCTATACCATAAAAGAATATGTAGCAATCTAGTGTCACCATGCATCTGTTCCCACACTGGTCTGAGGACAAACGTTAGGCTGGATGTTGGTAATTTGTGAAAACTGTAGATATTCAAGCTCTACTTTTAACTATAACTCTGATTTAATTCAGTAGGTTTGATGCAGTGCCTACAAACCTGTAATATTTTTTAAATTACCTCAGGCAATTATAATCTACACCAAGATTTGAGAAATATCAACTTAAGATATTTGAAAATGCACTGTAAATTATAAATCATTATTATCATTGTACATATATGTACATAATGTACATCATTATTATCAACTTTCAATATTAACTGTACCGAATAGTTCTATTTTAATGCAGTAATTATAAACATTATACATACTTGGTGACTCTGCGTTTTCATCCTCTGGGTTTTCTGAAGTAGATAATAGCTATGGCGGGGGGGGCAAAAGCATATAAATTAAAATATAAATCTTTTGAAAACTTATTTCAAAAAGTTATTTTGACTATCTTATCAATAAGAAATATTAAAAAGTTGAAGAGAAATAAATAAATATAAAACTTATTCTGATCATTACAATAACGAAGTCAAGAGACCAATTTTATTCAATTTATTGCAAACTAACTTGCCTACTGGCAAAATAATTTTTAATGTCAAAAGCAGTATTTATATTTAATAGTAATTAGAGAGGCCATAAAACAATACAGTTTCTCTGTGTATAAGTATTAAAAAATAAATTCCATTTTCATTAAAGCAAGAAAAGGTTACATCTTTTCAATGACCTGTGAGATACTCATTATTTCTTTTATCCCCAAAATCTTAACTTTCCCAGGTCATCCTCTGGGATAAGCTGGACCACATATCAGTTCCACTTAGTTAGGAAATGATTGATACACAATTATTACCTAATTTCTTATTTGCCTTTCCAGATAAACATAAAATTCTCTTTCTAAAATCTTGTTTAGAAAACTTCATCTAATAAAGCTATTCAAGGCTATTATCCCAGCTAACTTTATTCCTCAAATAGTTTAATTTATTGCAACTCAGAAACATAAGTTAAACATTATTTCCCAGAGGTATCTAATTCCTGGTCTGTTTTTATCCGAAGAGTAGTACTTTCAAAGATCATGTTGGATATTATAAAAAGGAAAATATAATTTCACAGAAACTCTTAGCTCTCTGCAAAAATATAACTCTCTATATCAGAAAGTAGCTTATCTATTGTTAGCCAATGATCTTAAAAACTGTACCTACCTGTTCAAGGATATGAGGGTAGTTGGCCTGAACCCGACTGGTGAACTCCCGTCCTTTAACTTGTATCAAGTACTCACAACTAAAAAGCAAACAAAGTTAAATTGGGGGGGCGGGTATTGTAATCCAGTTACCTACAGACTGCTAAATATTCCAAATAAACATAAATATACACATAACCACCTGAGTCCTCATTTACCATATGAGAATAGTCAGAGATACTGCCTCAGAGGCAGGGTGACATCAACAGAGGACCCCTACAATGGGCCATCTGCCAAGGCTGAGGGCAACAAGGGTCACACACAGAGCTCCCAGTTGCTCTCCTCAACTATTCTAAGATTCCTAAAAACACTCTGAATATTAAGAACAGAGCCAAGGAGACAGGAAGAAAGTTCTTTAATAAATGGTACTATTCATACATAAACTTTGCATACTTCAAAGCTAAAAGTATACAAAGAGAGACAGAGAAAAAGAATGAGGAAGCTGAACACATTTTCTACTAAGTCAGATAGTCACAGGTTTGGCAGTTTCCAGGTAAAGTACATTCACTGTCAAATTTAAGTACAAAATGAATTCATGACACTACCAAAGCAAATTTACCATTATATTTATACTGTCATAAAATTACCATCATGGAAAGCTGATAGTACTTTTGAAAAATGCCTATGTGTTCTTCATAATCTTCATAATTTTTAAAATATGAAATATTTGGAGACCACAAAGTTGCTATAAATAAGTACTATATAAAAATAAACATAATGAAAGTAAATTAGGACACCAAGTTCAGTAATCAACATTAAAAATAGTAAAATTTTTGATTATGAAAAGGGCCACCTGATTTAGATAAGACTGTAAACAAATGTGGAGTAATCAAAACTGTAAGATATGATAATAAAATTCCATGGAGTAATCAAAGTTTAGTTGGATCTCTATCAGATCATCCTCTTTAACATTGCAGGCTACCAGGTGCTTCTAGGTTTCTTACCCTCCTTTTTCCTTTTTATCCATAGCACTTATTATCTTCCAACATGCTACATAAGTTATTTCTTACAATTATCAATTTTCTGTACTCTTCTGTTATAAAATTAGAATGTAAGGCCAGGGATCTAGGTTTTGTTCAACTGACTAGTTTAAGCAACTAGACCAGTGCCTGATAATCAGTGATCAGTTGACATTACTGAATGATGAATGAATGGATATATGTCCAAGATATAATGGATAAGATAAAATAATTTAAAATGGACAAGATATAATTGCTTCAAAAGTTTTAAAACTGTATATATAATATCTCACTCACACCATCCACATTTTTCTACATATACATAAAGAGATGTCTGGAAGGATATTCACTAAAAAGGCACTGTGGTCATCTAATTTGGGTGGTGAGATTTCTGGACATTTAAATGATTTTCTCTGTACTTCTCTGCAATGCATAATTTTGGTTTTGTAATAAGCATATATTATTTCAAAATATATAGATATACATATAGATATTGCAATCACACCCCCCAAAAATTCTCAAAGAAGAAACTTCTTTGTCTTAAATTCTGATCAAAGCTTGTCATTTCCCTAAATAACCCATCCTAAATTGATTCACATAGTTTTGAAAAAGGTAGAATAAAGGAAGAGTAATTACAAGGCAAATACATACAGCAATGTTCCCATAGCCAGTTTCACTTTTTGCACTTTTCTTATGACCTGTTATCAATACCAACCTGAAAATACCACTTACAATATATATTTTTTTAAGATTGTATTTATTTATTTATTTATTTATTTATTTATTTATTTATTTATTTATACAAGCACTGGGTATATTCAGAAGTGAGGGAGGGTGAGAGAATCCACCAGAACCAAAGGGGAGAGTAGAGCAGGCAGACTGATGAAGTACACTGCTGAGGGGAGCAATGGGCGGCAGGAGAGGTCTGCATGCCATGTGGGACCCTCACCTGGTGGCCGGGGATCGAACAGGCGCTGCAGAGGCTGTGGGCAGCTTCGCAACCCAGCGCTCAGCCGCTGCGCCATGGGGGAGGCCCCACTTACAAAATATTTTGAGACCACTTTCATGTAACTTTTATCACAGTACGCTGTTATAACTGTTCTATTTTATTATTAGTTATTGCTATTATGTCTGTGTCGCATATATAAATTAAACTCTATCAAAGACATGTATGTATAGGGCAACACATGTACATGCTAGGATCAACACTATTTGTGGTTTCAAGCATTCTATGGGGGTCCTGGAACCCATCCCCCCCTGGAAAAATGGGCACTACTGCATAATCCACCTCATGATAATCGCTCACATTTGCAAAGAGAATTTCAAATTAATTACCTTGGAAACCATTTGGCATGTTGTACCCATGGGTCATCTCCAGATTCCCAACACCTCAGTCCACCATCACAGCAAAAGCACTTGACATCATCACTGTTACCTAAAATTAATTTTGAACCAAAACTTACAAATGTATATAATCTGGCCACTGAAAAAGTATTAAAGTGAACATACTGAATATCTTATTATCAGATTAAGTCCCTTACCTGTATAATAAAAACCGGCACTTGCAAGCTGCTCAGGGTGAACTGGAGCATCAGAGGGCCAGTTACAGAATGTTTTCATGCGGGCCGCCTGTGTCTGCATGCTCAGGTTAGAAACAATGTACGATGAAGTGTCTTGAAACTGATTTTCCACAAACGGGCAGTTGGGGAAATGTCTCAGGTGTTCTGACTTGGCATCATCCTTCGGTTCCCAATTGCTCAACTTTCCACCGCAGGCAAAGCAGGCCACTCTGTCCCCAGGGCCGATGTAATAAAATCCTGCTTTTGCTAGATCTGCGGGTGACAGAAAAGCCAAGGGCCACATCTGAAAAGTAAGCAACCTGGCTTTTTCAGTATTCATTACATAATGGTGGGGATTTGTCCTCAAGTTGGAAAAATCTTGATTTGATCCGGGGGTTATAGAATTGGATGGAAAGCTTGAAAAAGAACCGCTGAAATATCCAGTGTTTTGCAAACTTGGAAGTAATGAATGTGTAGAATGTATTATTGAAGAATGAGAAGTAGGCTGAGAGATGGCTCCCAACATGTGAGCTGAATTCAGATTCTGAACGAAGCTACAGCTAGGATACAACTTTTTATGCTTTTCAATAGGACTGTCTCCTTGTTTCCAGTTATCCAGCATCAGGCCACAACAGAAGCATTTGACCTTGTCATTCACTCCAGTGTAATAAAAACCCGCACGAGCAAGACTCCTTTCTGAGACAGGAACGCCAGCAGGGAAAGTTGAGTAAGTGGACATGCGGTACAGTTCACAGGAGAAATCATATTTCAATTCAAACGTGTTAGCACTTTTCATCAAGTTTGATAAGAATTCACTTTTTTCTACTATGTTCATAATGAAATAGATGGGGAGGAAAAGGGACTAGCCTTTCTCTGGGGAGGTAGTTTTGTGCATGGCTTTTGATTTCATTCATCTTAGTACTCGTCTGAATACCTAGAACTGGCAATCTTTTGTTCTTTTCACTTGTAGGCATTTAGGGTTTCTGCATGGTGAGGTCCTAAGTCACATACTGATACTGATTTTAAGGGACAATTATACACAAAAACTCAATCTTTGTGTAATCTTTATACATGCAATATAAACAACTACCTTGTGATGAAAATCAAAACCTTTCCTGGAAGTGTCCGGTGCTGAGGTCATCAAGATGTCATTCAGTGTTACCTTCCCAGGTCACTAGAGAGCTTGAGTGGCAAGTACCAGACTGAAGATAAAGTGTCTGACTCACATGACTCAGGTGGAAAACAATGTTCTCCAGAAACTGGAGAAAAATATTCAAACTGTTTATTTTGCTTTTTTGAAATTGTGAAATTTGGTAGGCAGAAAACATCTACTGCTAAAAAGGAAATAATGAATTTTCATATTTCACTAAATCAAAGATGCATTTATTAACATGACTGCTTTGGAGAGGTATCAGAATTAATAGCATTTGCGGTGTATTTGTTTCTTAGAGGTACATAAGTTAAGGGTATCTGACAATTGATGACATCTTACATGTAATGAAATATAATATATTCCAAATCTTTCCCAAATTAAATTTTTCTTCCTACAATCATTTTAATAGGTAGAACAACTAAAATTTTTCCTCAAATGAAAAGATCAAGTTGTAACAGAGTTTGTTGATATATCCTAAGGCCTACTTTCAAGTATTTCAAGTAAATACTTACTTCCCATAGAGTCTCAAGAACTTGGTGGCTCAGTCACAGTGACTGACTAGCAAATTAAGCATTCTATTTTAAGAAACTGATCAGAGATTAGAGTATTTGCTCTGTTCTTTCAGGTTCTGCTTCATGCTGTCAAAATAGTTCTGAGGCTATAGGCTAAGATGGATAATCAAGTTGTACAAATTTGGCTTAAATCAGAAATTTTTCACAACATACCTTAAACCAAACTTTATCATGACAAAAACTAACAGTAAATTTACTCTGTCACAATCACTTCTTTAAAACAGCAGCAACGTTATCAAAATTTAGAATTTCTTAATTATGACTAGCTAGGAGTGAACAAGCTCTATATCAAAATTAGCGAGGTCCAATAAACAAGACCTGTGGGTTTTTTTAATAAGCATGGCTTCCTGTGACCCACTGAGGTTAGGGCTTGCTACCGCAAACTTTAAGGCTTTATTTGCAGGTGGCATAAGAAACATATCTCAACACCAGTGATTATAAAACTCACAAAGGGGAGTTAATGTGTCTGACTTCAGTACTCCTTTCATTGGCAAAAATTTTACCCACTGCTAGAAAAACCTCCATGTTTATTTCTGTCTCCTTATAAGTTTGTTCATTTACCAAAATGTAGCCATCCAGCCATCATTCTCAGAGAAAATAACCCATTTGAACAAACTAAATTTTGTACTTTTACAAGATCAACAGTCTTATGAATGTTTAATTTCTTCACCTATCATCAAGTTTATCTTTCCTGCTTTCTCTGAACTTATTGTAACCATCAAAGAGTTTTGTTCTTAACATTTCTTTGTCATTGTAGAAATCTTTTAACATGTCAAAGGTCTTATTTGCATATTTCTCTAATTTGGCCCAGGGCTGAATATTAACTCTTTGTTCTAAACAACTGTCACTCATTTTAAAATTTTTACCAAACACACGTACTTTTTCTATTCTACACAGTGGTCAGCGGGAGATGGTCAACTTTGAAGACTGCTTATACAATTTGTCTCAGCTACGGTCACTTCTCTTTGACATCCACAGGGAAATTCAAAATCCAATTCAGAAGTTACACCTCATGAAAATATACTGTATTTTTAAAATTAACATTCTTTGGATACCAAAAAACTAGTTACCTACTTAATTTGTTTATTCATGCACAAAACTACCTCCCGGAGATTAGACTATGTCCCTTTTAAAGGTTTTAGGCCTCCATTTTGAGATCTTTTGATTTATAGAAAGAAAAGGAAAAAATCTAGAAGTAGAATGGTTCACGTCTTCTGTAAAACCTGTTAAAAAAAAGAAAATTTTTAAAAATCAAAATAACCCATAGATTTAACCAATGACCTTTTAAAAAACATTTTTTACAGAATTGAACCCCAGGATTTACTGGAAACTGCCAGTGGCCAAGAAATCCCACAAAGAAACCTGAAGTTTCTTTCAAACTAGTGGCCAGGAGAGGTATTACAGTTGATGGCACAAAAATGGACTTTATAGTCTTTTACTAATTTTTTTTTATGCATACAAGCAATGGGGCACAGGCCAGAGATGCGGGGGGCGGGGGGCGGGGTTTGTGAGAGGACTCACCAGAATCAGAGTGGGGAACAGAACAGGTAGGCTGACTGAAATACACTGCTGAGGGGAGCAGCAGGCAAGGCAAGAGAGGTCTGCTGTACCATGTGGGTTTCTCCCCTGCCGGCCGGGGATCAAACTCTTGCTGCAGAGGCTGTGGATTGCTTCATAGTGTGGTGCTTAACCCCTTGAGCCACCAGGGAGGCCCATATTTTACTACTTTTTTAAACATTTTTATTTTGAATTCAAAAAATTAATATGAAAATATAAAAATAAAAATACACAGAAATAATAGACTTCCTCTGTACTCAGCATTCAACTTCCCCAAAGTCAACATCTTACATAACCACAGCACAATTACAGGAACCAGGAAATTAACATTGATGCTGTGTTTGTAATTAATCTACATGCCTTCTTTGCATTTCACCAGTTTTCCAAAAACATTTTCCCTCGGACCATGGCATTTTAAAACATGTTCACTAACTGCCAACAGTTTAAGGAGATTCCTCATAACATTCTAAATTTCAAGCTTCTCCTTAAAAACTTAGAAGATCTGGCAATAGTGGGCTATGTTCCTGGGTGCTAACAACCGGCTAGTACCTAGTAGAGGCCCTGCCCTTTATGGAGGGTGTGTGCTCTCCAGTTGGCACTGAACTTTGTCTCCCCAGTAGGAAGACTGAGGACAATAGCTAATTGTCACCAAGCTGGCACTATTATTTTGCTTAGAGTTCTAAAGAACATGAATGTGCTCTAATACTTCTGTTCTACCAAAAGAAACAAAAATGAAAGGAAAAGAAGGACACATGTTCTGAAAAAATATGAGAGCACTATACTTCTTTGTGTAAGAATATTTACATGTTAAATACATAAACAAAATATGTTTCTGTTTAAAGGAGACACAGTACTGTCCATTCCTATCACCTGCCTGGCCTCTGTGCAGTTGAGTTTGCAAACTCTTACACAGATCTTCCCTAAAGAATCAATTCAAACCCAGTCTCAACCATTTTGACATGGAGACCTCCTAAGGCTGCCAAGGAACATCACTAAGCTGGCAGACTCCCCTGCAGGACTAAGGCTCCGCTTTGGTGGCAATTCAACTCACCTTGTGGAGCCCACTGTGCCATCCCACCCTTCTAAACCTTTAGCTCTGTCCTCAACCTTGTCCCATGACGCCCGAGCTCACTTTCTGTAGACTACTTTGCTTTTCATTAAAAAAAATAAAAGGTATCACTGAGCAGTCATCACTCCACATTCTCACATCGATGGCCTTTTTCCTCACAATTGCCTCCGGGTTTTACTTTTCCCACTGCTTCAGATGTGTGGCTCTTAACCCCACCACCCTCAGTTCTTCAACTCTCACTCTCCACAAGTTCATCTCCTTCACCTGTCTCCACTTTTAAATGAAAACAAAAAAATCCTCCTTAGACCCCACTTTACATCTTCACAACTACCCCCTCTCTCATCCTCTCTTCACAGCCAAGCCAACTGAAAATGTGTCTGTGGGTAAGGTCTCCCATTACAAATGGCTTTAGCCAACACCATTTAAAACTATTCTCTATATTAATAACACCAATGATTTCCTCACCAAAACCAATGGAAATTTTTGTATCTGACCCTGGGGCCCGCTTCCTCTTAAAAATGCTCTAGTCCTATGTCTATGGCTTCTCCAATACCACTTTGTGGAATTCCTCTTTCCTTTCTGTGGTTGCTACTGGGAATAGCTAAAGCGTCCAATCTCTTTTTACTGTATTCTTTTCAGTGGGCAACCTCCCTGATCTTGGAGGGGCGGGTGTGGGCATGTAAGTGGGTCTTTTTCCCCTAGACTGTGAGCTCCCTCAGAATACAACTCAGTTTCAGCTCTGTACCGGCCCTCCCTTCCCTACCATGGATCTGGCCTATAGACTGACTTTCTGATGAAGTGAATGACAATTTTACATTAATGACAGCGTCTGCTCAGTGATGGTTTAACCAGGCTTTGGAGTCAGACATCTCAGGTTCCAATTAAAAGCAGCCTCCCTTTACCAGGGGTGTGACGATGAGCTAAGAATCTCCATGAACTTGGATCCTCTTTGGAGACAATTATAACAGCTGCTTAAAACTAAGAATCAGGACTTCCCTGGTGGCGCAGGGCGTTAAGCACAGCTCTGTGAAGCTATCCCAAGCCTCTGCAGCAGGAGTTCGATCCCCGCTGGCCAGAGAGCAACCCACGTGGTGCAGCAGACCTCTCCTGTCTCGCCCGCTGCTCCCCTCAGCAATGAATCCTCTCACCCCACGCCCCCTCTCTGGCCTGTACCCCAGTTCTTGTATGCATAAAAAAAAAATCTTTAAAAAACAAACAAACAGAATCAAGCCTGAAAACATACATGTAAAGTGTTCAGAGGGGTTCCAGCATATCGTTATGTTTTAGCAACACCCAATCAAAGCAATAAATAACAGCCACATCAATAGTAGTTACTTTAACATCAGTAAGTGCCTCGATTTGTTTTCTAACTCAAAAGCACTGCCTAGTTTCTAAGCTCATCACCAAGAATACAACCAAATATCTGCCTTCTGTCACCGCTTGGGCATATTATTCCACTTGTTCATTAAATAAAGATTTTACTGAGTCTCCACCGTGCCAAACCTCTCCTGGAAGTCTGGTCCTGAAGCCGCTTTGGAATCACGAGCCACTGTAACCCTTGGCAATCATATTCAACCAAGAGCAAAGCTTCCCGATTACACCGGTTACCCCAAATGCCACCGAGCTACGGATCAGCCGGCAGGAAGGCGGCAGGCGAGGGCGGCGCCCCGGAGCCCCCGGCGCGCGGGAGACCCAAGTCCCTGCGGCTGTGGCAGCAGGCGCACCGGGCACCTGCGCCGGGCCCGCGGGGCCCACTCCCGGTCCACCCCTGACCCACTGGGCAGCCGGCCCGGAGCCGAGCCCCGGGCCCCAGGCACTGTGGAGTTACCGTGCCGCCCGCTGCGCCGCGTCCCGGCCGCTGGGCCCGGTCGTCCCCGCCGACTGCAGCCTCGGCTCCCGCCCGCGTGACAGGTGCGTGCGGCGGGGGGGCGGGGAGGGAGGGGGCGACGCACGCGCGGGCACGCACGGATACGCACGCGCGCGCCCCCTCGCGGCCCCCAGGTGCCCGGCCTGCTGCGCCCGGGCGGAGGCGGCCGCCGGGACGAGAGGACCTGGGCTTCTCGGTGACGCCGCTCCGCGCGCCCGGGAGGCGGCCGCGGCCTTTTGAACGAACGGCGCCCCGCCCCGCCCCGCCCCGCCCCGCCCCGCGGCCGTCCCCCGCGCCCCGCGGCCGTCCCCCCGCGTCTCCTTAGCGCGGTGCTTTCCTCGTCACTTAGGGGAACTCCAGCGGCTGTGACCGCACGCAGAGCCACACTCACTTCCCCCCGGCCGCGGCCGCCGGCCCACGCGGGGATTTCCAGCGCCCGGAAAGCCTGACCCGCTCTCCGCGACGGCGCTCGCGGGCAGGTCCGGACGGGGAAGCCGTGATCACCTGTTAGGGAAGATGACAGGGGGTGCTTCAGCCTGACCAGGCGAGCCAGCGCCCCGCGTTTTAGAAAAGAAACGCCGAACCTTGGCGAAATCTTTGTGATTGTTTTTACTTTTTGTAATAATGGAGATAGTGAAACAGGAGTGGATATGGAGGGGGTTGTTCGCCTTGTTTTAAAGATTGGCATTGCCTTAGTATAGTTTCCTATAGGAGCACTTTGTTGGGGGGCTGGGGGGTGTTTTATGCCGAGGGTGGAGTTGGCTCTAAGAAAAAATTTCCTCCTTTTGTCTCGCAGGGGAGGTCTCTAAGTTGCAAGTGATGTTCTCGGGGAAACCTGAAGTCTGAGTCTGAAACCAGTGCCCAAATTTCTCTGCCCTTTCCACCTCCTCGCAGTAGATTTGAGCAGTTTTATTTAGGACGGTACAGGTGGATTGCGAGTGTTCACTTGAGTTTCCTGTCTTCCAGGACAGCAAAGATACTCAAGAACCAAAGTCATTCTCAGGTTTCATCATCCCAAAAGCAGAGTTCCAACTAGAATTATATCAAAATGATTGGTTATCTGTAGGTGGAGATTTCAATACTCATTGGAGCCTACTTAATTCAAAACTTTACCAGCCATTTTCAACTCACCTTTGAGGTGACTGGAAACATTTGTTGCCTTTATGCACTTGTGATGGTATACACATCAAAAAAAATTGAAAAAAATATTCCCCTTCACGTGTTTAACATTAAAGCATAACAGTTGTCACAGTTGCAATGGAATGCAGATATAGGTATTTTTGAATAAAATTAATCGAGGACTCTTAAATGTACTCAGCGGATTACAAATACATAACCATTTGATACCTGCTGTCATCTATTTAACAATATATAGGTTCATTTTTAATAATTGAAAATAACTATATTGCCTTTGTCTCTTTAAAATTGAATATATTTGACATGTAACATTGTGCATGGGGTATAGAGCATGTTATTTGATACATTTATTATGATTGCAAATAGCAAATTTTGTCACATTACATAATTATAGTACAGGATTATCTAGGCTCATTATACTGTGCAGCAGATCTCTAAGGCTTATTCGCTATTTGTTACAAGTTTGTACCTTTAACCACCATGATTTATCCCTAGCTTCCTCCCCTAGCCCCCTCCTTAACACTATTTTACTTTCTGATTTTTACTGGTTTAACTGTTTCAAATGCCATATATAAATGCTCTCATATGCTTCCACGCATGAATGATTGACATCTCATTAGGAATAATGTGCTCAAGATCCATCCATGTTAGACTTTGAATGTTCTACTTCCCCAATAGATTTTAAAAAATGTTATTATATTTTAAAAATGTGTAACCCATAGAATTTTAATATATGTTAATGACAGACATCTTTATGATCATGCTGTCACATATTTCTGAAACTAATAGTGTATAAATTGAAATTTAATTTTCCTCTGCCATCACAGGGCAAAAATTATTTCCTGCTTATATTATCATTTATATTGTTTTCAGTACTTATTATACAATTGGTCAAAACATTAAATATATAAATATAATGTGAATGTTGATGAGTACGTTGACCTCAAACAAAAATAATGTTCTAACAAGATGGTTTTATTTGGAAACAGAAGAGAAACCAGATTGGAGAATGTGCTTATGGCAACACCTTGTGCACTTCCTGAATCCAAGGCTAAAACCCCCTGCATAATCTATGGAGGATCTCCCCCTCAGTTCTGACAAAGATGAAAACAGCATCAACCTCAGTGGGAGATGCAAGGCATGTTGAGTCCTGTGTTTGCTGATTTGTACATGTGTGGGAATTCTCTGGCTCCAAACCTCATTTAAATAAGGTTTCTGTATATAATATTCACAGTACTAAAAGAAAAAGTTAAAGTTAAAATTCATTACAATCCTAATGATGGTTGTAGTTTATATTTTAAGCAATTTGTTCCACGGTTGTGTTCATGAATATTAACTACTAATAAAACATGAGTATTCAGCACAGATTTTATTCCTTTTTTTATTTCTACAGATTGTAAATGTTAAAAAACCTTTTTCACATAAACAGACCCAGAAGAAATGTTCACATTTTGACATCTGTCTTAAATCTATTAACTCATTTAGTAATCTTCAATCAAAAAAAGGAATCCCTTAGTGAGGGGAAGATTCAAGCTGGTGGCATAAACTCACCTCCTCTCATGAACACAACAAAGTTGCAATACCATATAATTCTTGGCCTGGAGAGATTCTGAAGGGGTGGAACTTCTCCCTAGGGAGAGGAGAGGGTGGTGCCTTGTATCATGGACCCTAGCTTTTCAATTCTGCACAGCAGAGCTAAGTTCCCAGAACTGAGAGCCGATGGGGAAAAAAAAACCCAAGAGATTCTAAAAACCCCAGACACTGGGAATCTACGTTTAAAGGACCTGCATACAGACTCAGTCACCCCAGGATCTAACACAGTAACAGCCTGAATAGTGCCCCAATCATAAGCAAAGAAACCCAGTTATCCACAACTCTTACAGTGTCTGCCTGAGTGGTAGAAAGCTTTTGCGAAGACCACTGGGTCAGCAAACTGGTGGGTGCCATGAGCAACTTCATGCAAACTTGCTGCAGACACCATCTTAGAATCTTTCAGGCAATATACACTGTGAACAAGCCCCACAGACAGCTCTGCCCAATGTAACTGCATATCATAGCCCTGCACTTGCAGCTACCCTGATGATTACTGTACCCCACACCTGTTTCTTTGCTGCCAGGATGGGCAGGAGGCTTCACAGTGGCCATGCACTATGGTTGGCACAGCCCATCATTCTGTGACCCAGACATCACAGTTGCATACCTTGACTATGCTCACCCACTGTGGCACAGCCAGGTAAGGCCAACAGACCCACTTACCATGTCACTCTGACATAGCAGAACTATGGGCACAGTGCACACATCTGGAGCACACAGCTCATGTGTTCGTGGATAACTGTGCCTCTGGACACAGGACAGCACCTGCACAACAAGATCATTCACTTGAGACCAGTAGAGGTTGTGGAATTGAGAATAATAGAACTACGCACAGAGAATCAGGGAAAATGGGGAGACAGAGGAACATTTCCCAAACAAAATCCATGAAAAAGATCATAAAAAGAAACAGTTCACGGCCTCCTTGGTAGCATAAGGGGTTGAGTCTCAGCACTATCAAGCTGTCAATAACCACTGCAACACGAGTTCAATCCCCAGTAAGGAGCTACCCACATGGTGCAACAGACCTCTCCTGTGTCACTTGCTGCTCCCCTCAGCAGTGTATTTCAGTCAGTCTTCCTGTTTTGCTCCCCACTCTGTGCTTGGTGGATCCTCTCACCCCCCAAACCGCTGGCCTGCACCCCAGCTCTTGTATGCATGAATAAATAAAATAAATCTTTAAAAAGAAAAAAGAAAAAGGAAAAGAAACAAAACAAAGTAATGGTTATGAAAATGTTCACCAAACTCTCAGGAGAAGAATGGATGAACTAGAAAATTTAAGGAAAATCCAAACAAAAGTTACAGAGCTGAAGAATACAATGACAGGATTGAAAAAATACAATAGAGAGGCTCAATATCAGATTGAATGAAGCAGAGGAGCGGGGTGAAAATAAAAACAACAGAATTCATCCACAGAACAGCATTGTGAAAAAAATTATTAAAAAAAAAAGTGAAGACATCTTAAGGAAGCTTTGGGACAATATTAAAATGAACAATATTCATATTATTGAGGTCCCAGAAGGAAAAGAGAGAAAAGGCCCAGAAAATGATTTGAGGAAATACAACCAAAAACTTCCCTAATCTGGGGAAGAAAACAGACGTCCAGGTACAGGAAGTCCAGATGTTTCCAAATAAGAGGAACCCAGGCATCTACAGTAAGACAGAATTACACATTAAATTAAAATTACAAAATTAAAGATAAAGGGAGTATCTTAAAAGCACCAAGGGGAAAGCAGTATATCAATAAAAAGGAAATCAGATAAAGCTATTGACAGAATTTTCAACAGAAACTTCTCAGGCCAGAAGAGAGTGGCATGACATACTCAAAGTGCTGAAAGGAAAGACTTTCAACCAGAATTCTTTATCAGGCAAAGTTAACAGTGAATTGCAGGAGAGATTAAGAGTTTCATGGATTAGCAAAAGTTAAAGGAGTTTATCACCATTTAACTAGCCTTGCAAGAAATGTTAAAGGGATTTCTTTTAACTGAAAAGAAAGGCACTAACAATAAGAAAACACACAAGGAAAATAAAATATCACTGCACTGGAAAGGTAGTTATATAGTGAAAGGTGGACCAATCACTTATAAAGCAAGCACAAAGATTAAAAGAGTAGTTAAATCAACTATAGCTATGATAATTAGTCAAGGAATATATATATGTATAATAAATATAGTAAATATATAACATAAAACATGGGAGCTGGTGGTACAAAAATCCATACTATGTAGTTAGGCCTATGATGATTGTTCTGAACATGTACACTTTTTTTCTTGT